CTGAAACTGCTCCGGCCGGGGCACTTCACTTTGGCCTGCCGGTCGATCACCCGCGAACTCTCCTAAGTACCACGAGTTTAAGTTACTAACCGTCCGTCCGTCCCTATCTTATCCGTGCAGTCCAAAAAAATTACTCTGCAGTACTAGCCCTTTTGTTTTAAATTGTCATTTACTACTATAACATCAAATTAGTTTTATTAAATCTATAATTTAATATATTTCTTTAGTATATATGTCTTGTATTGAAACCGCTCCAGTCGCCTCAATTCACTTTGGCCGGCCGGTCGATGACCAGCAAACTCCCCTAAGTACCATGAGTTTAAGTTATTAGCCGTTCGCCCCTCCCTAGCTTATCCTTGCAGTCCAAACACGAAAAACAATTACTAGTCCCTCTGTTTTAAATTATAAGTTATTTTGATTCTGGTCAAAATCAAACTATTATAAGTTTAATCACGTTTGTAGACATATATACTAATATCTATAACATCAAATTAGTTTCGTTAAAGCTATAATTTAATATATTTTATAGTATATCTGTCTTGCATTGAAACTGCTCCAATCGCCTCACTTCACTTTGGCCTACCGGTCGATCACCCGCGAACTCCCCCAAATATCACGAGTTTAAGTTACTAGCCATCCGTCCGTCCCTAGCTTATCCCTGCAGTCCAAAAAAAATTACTAGCCCCTCTGTTTTAAATTATAAGTCGTTTACTACTACAACATCAAACTAGTTTTATCAAATCTATAATTTAATGTATTTTTATAGTATATATGTCTTGTATTGAAACCGCTCCAGTTGCCTCAATTCACTTTGGCCGGCCGGTCGATGACCAGCGAACTCCCCTAAGTACCATGAGTTTAAGGCCCTGTATGTTTCAGCTTAAGATTACTGTAATATAGATTATTGAGCCAAATTACTATAAGCTAGATTATAATAAGCCGATATATAATAATTTGTTAGCTGTTAGCCACCCAATAATCTAAAAAAGCACCTTTAGAGTGGATTACCAGATTACTATAATCTGGCTTATAGATTGTAATAATCTATCATAATAAGTTATATGTTTATTTCAGCTTATTCCTAATAATCCAGATTATAATAATTCTAAACTGAATCAAACAGGGCCTAAATTACTAGCCGTTCGTCCCTCCCTAGCTTATCCTTACAGTCCAAACACGAAAAACAATTACTAGTCCTTCTGTTTTAAATTATAAGTCGTTTTGATTTTGGTCAAAATTAAACTATTACAAGTTTAATTATGTTTGTAGACGAATATAATAGTATCTATAGCATCAAATTAGCTTCATGAAAGCTATAATTTAATATATTTTTATAGTATATCTGTCTTGCATTGAAACTGCTCCCATCACCTCACTTCACTTTGGCGATGACCAGCAAACTCCCCCAAGTACACAAGTTTACTAAGTTACTAGCCGTCCGTTCATCCCTAGCTTGTCCCTGCAGTCCAAACACGAAAAAAATATATTTACTATACTTCGTTCCATCCGATCTCGCGTCTTGACTGTGATCAATTCGAATCCATTCGTAAGATTCGTGACTAGTACCAGTAAATGTACGCTCGATCTGACGTCGGATCGTCGTAGGTGCGAGCGAAAATCGGATGCTCTGCCGCGCCGCGCCACGCCACGCCACGCGCCACGCCGGCGCGCACGTACGGCGACCGCGAGCGCGCTACATATCTTTGTCTCCTCGATCGATCTCCTCGGGCGGCGCCACCACCCGCCCCCAGCCAATTTACGCGCGGCCATGTGCGCGCCACGCCGCGCCGCACGTGCGCGTCGCCCGCGCAGGCGCAGGCGCAGGCGCAGCACGGCGCCACGGCACGGCGCGGCGAGAGAGGGAGCGCGCACTGGGCGCGCCAACGTGCGCTGCCTCCCGGGCGCGCGGTATTAACGCGAGTTCTCCAACCAATGCGGAATCCTATGCTCGGATCGCTGCATTGCTGCAGCTGCTGCTCGATACGCATCGAACGCGCGACGCGACATGCCGCATGGCTGGCTGGCGAGCGTGTTCCTGCCATGGTTTTTTGGCTGCTACGGTTTGTCGCCTAGATCATTGCTCCCTTGGCCCACGCGATTCTCCTCCTCCTCCTCCATCAACCATAATTAACAACAGTTAAAACACTTGTTAATTAGCACTAGCACCAGCATTGGCACTTTGGCAGACAGCAGAGTCCACTGGTCATCATGCTCGGGTCACCTGCTGAACCCATTTCAGACGATCGATTTGCCAAAATCATGCATGCATTGGCTGGCTCATGTTGATGTTTTTTTTTTAATCAAAATAATGCATTAGCTAGGATTGATCGGATGTTCTCAGTACGGTTGTATCACCTTGATGTAAGAGATCAATAAAGCTTTCATTATCATTAGAGAGAGCATCAACGGAATGGTGATCAGCTGAGCATACGCATAGTATGTAACTAACTGCTTCTGAACACTGTTCTCCTGTGGCTAGAGTGGTAGACTAGTAGTAGTAGACTGACACTGTAATTTTACTGTCAGATTTTAACTGTACTCTCTGTTGCAGATCTGCGTACCAAGAGATTGCCCCCTCTGCACTCTCTCTTTCCTGAATTATGGCTCAAGAACAGAGCATGCATGGAGCTGCAGGGCGCATGTGAAGGCTGATGAGTAAAGCGAGAGAGCTGAAAAGGGCAAACACTAAAGTTGATGCCCCGATCACAGCATCCAGCTTGCCTGGTTTAATTTCTTCTTCATCACAAATCAAACACAACAACATGTTTCGTTTCAGGTTTTCTTCACATCATTCTCATTCATCTTTCCTTTTTTTTACTGACTTACCAGCAGATGATGGTAAACAGTAACACATGGAAGCGTTTCGTTTCAGGTTTCAGAGTTTCAGTTTCGCCCATGTCTACTACTACTACCAGATCGAGCATCTGAACTCGACAACGCATAAAACAAACGAAGGCAACAGGGTACATTCACTTCAGGTCCTCAAGTGAAGGGGTGAAATATTGATAACCAGATCACAGCACAGCTCACTGTGTCTCCTGGGGAAGTGACTTTGCCACAGTAGCTGATTGCTGCTGCTTTTTTCCTCTCTCTTTTCCTCTTCTTCTTCTGCTCTTGTATCCAAACACTTTCTTGTTTTTCTCTGGGGATACTTGATAAGACATTGTCTGTTGGCTAGCATGGTCCATAGGCTATGTATGTGTACTGCAATGCCAATTATATGCGTGCATTTCTCCCATCTTGTTTTCACAGTCAGGGAAACAATTTATTCCCTTTTGGTGTGTTTAGTATCATCATAATTGTGGCATTTTAGGGAACATAGTAAGTAGGTCCATCTGCATTGAGTGTACATATGAAGCATAATTAACATCTTATTTTAGATAGAGTGACATGATAAGGATTTATTGTTTGGTACAACCTTCCTAGAGCCAGCTATTGCTAATTAGTAGTTTCTATTGAAGAGCATCTTTAGATTTCTTTTCCTTTGTTTCAGTTTGGTTCCCTCTGCAGATAATCTTCCAGGAGTATATTATTATATTTCTTAAGAATGTTTCATAGTGTTATTTTATTTGAAACAGTGACAATATCGTTTTTTTCTACAGTGCAGCACCCACCACACAATGACTCACTAGTAGGTCTAAACCTCTACTTCTACTGTTCTACATCACTGATAGGATCTTCCTCATGTGTACTGACAGTGACAACCTTGTTTTTCCCACCAGCTACCGACACATTTTGCCCCAAAAAAAAAACAAAATACTGAGCATTTTGTGGCCCTGTGTATATTATTGTGTAAACTAGTAGTAACGGAAAACTGTCCCTATTATTGGTTGCTTGAACAAATACAGTTCAAGAAGCTAGATACAGTCTTAGTCATGACTTATTTGTCATTAGGGTCCATACCATTAATAAATGCTTGACAGCCAAAATTGAATTGTCAGAAATACCTGTAATATTGAATGAAGAGCTTAATAGGAGAATTTGGATTTGACTATAATGACAAAACAGACAGTTTGGAAACAGCAGCATGAGGATTTGGCTTCTCCAAAATTACCAGGTATATCACACTTAAAAGGGACAGAGCAGCAGGTTTCTTTCGGTATATACCCAGTTCTTTTACTCTTTTAGAGTTGTCAAACTCACACTTTTGCAAGAATGTCCTCCTTGTCGACCATAAAATTGCAAAGCTATACAATGTATTTGCTATATATTTATCATTAGTATGTCATGATTATCTTTAGGAAAAGTTAAATATTGAAACATCAAAGCACGACAATACTAACATGCTTGCCTGAGTTGTAGCTTTGCATGACCAAGAAATTTAATCACAGGGGAATATGTAAATCCATATTTCATATTTACAGGTAATATAATTTGATCCTCATAAATGTAGATACTAATGATTTCTATAGTTCCTTTAATAGAAAATGTATAGCTATAATACATCCACATCAAATGGAAGTTATATTTTCATTATCTAAAAAAAATATTTTTTTAGGCAGGTGAGATTCCCCACCTAATATCGGCACCAAATGATATGTGACGACATAATAAACCTTCATTTTCCTTGTGATGAAAAAGTCTATACACCATGACAACTAACGTATAGATATGGACAATTGTATAGCACGCAAGCATGAATGGCAGTATTTTTTTTCGCCCGTCATTCTTGTCGCCGAGATTTAATAGCGGCGTCTTTTAAAAGAGAGTTACCTAAATATTTCAACGAAAATTAATTCTCTGCATAAACATTTTAATAAATCTATAATATCATGCGCACGTCCATGTTAATGGCTCGATCACATATACGAAACACAAATACACATTTCATACACAAAAAATCGTAAAACAACGATATTATCTTTCTCCTGAAGCGGACATGACGCGACCCGCGGAACTGATAAAGAGAAAAGAGAGCGACATTTTCCACCCCTCCCCTTTGATTGTTTATCTCCTCTTTTTTATGTGTTTTCCCCTTGTGTTTTTTTCTCAATCATGTTTTCCATTCCATTGGGTTTGGTGTCGTGTTGTGAATGTGTTGAGAAAGAGTAGAGGAGAGAACCAAAAGGGTTTCCAGAGCGGCAGCGGCTGCCTGCTTAGCTGCTGCTGATGCTGCAGGCTGCACCAAAGCAGCGAGCCTTTTTTTACCTCTCCTACTATACCACCACCACCATCTCCTCTCCTCGGCTTCACTTCTCGCCTCTCCTTGTTGGCACGGGCGGCGATTGAGCCCGCGGCGGCGCCATGTCGGGGCTGTACAGCCCGGGGTTCTCGCCAGCGAGGAACCTCTCCCCCCAGATTAGGAGCAACCCGACGGATGTTGATAGGTAACTCGGATTCCATTTCCCGTGTTTCTTGGCTTTTGTTGTGCCTTTGTGTTCTTGGGCTGATGAAGCTGATGGTGTGTTGTGATTGGTTGGTTGGATTGTTCTTGCAGTCAGTATCTGGCCGAGTTGCTCGCCGAGCATCAGAAGCTGGGGCCGTTCATGCAGGTGCTGCCCATATGCAGCAAGCTGCTGAGCCAAGGTGAGATCTTTTCTTCTTTTTTTTTTGATCTCCCCTCTTCATCGTTTCTCGCTGTGCGACGAGATTTTTTGTTTGGTTTTGAGAGAGGTGTTTCCTTTGCAATCGATGAATTTGGGAAAAACTTACATGGCTCCGATGCCTGAATGGGCGCTCGCGTTTGGATAGATGGCATTGGTGGTTTCTTGGCTCTACTGCACTGTCATCTCTGACGCATGAGCTGCTTGGATGGCGTTCTTGTTTTAGATTTGTGTTGCGATTTTACCTCAATCGGACAGATTGGATGATCAGGCTTCTGCTAGATAATGTTGCCGCCTGATGATTGCGATGATCGATCTGTCCTTGATAATCTACGCTGGCGATGTTGTAGAACGATCTTCTTGGCTGAAATATCACCAATCATTACATCTTTGTCTTAGATATTCATCTTATCATTCTATTAGTAAGAATCATATGTTTAATTTAGAGTTGATTTTAACAGTAGGATGTAAAAACAGTGATGAAGCTCGTGGTTTGTACTAGTGGGCAGTGGTAAAGGGTTTCTATGGACGTCAAGTCGTCACCTTATTATGCTTATCTCAATCACCATCAACCAATCAATGTGCATTACCATTTGCCAGCATGACGATTTCAACATTTTTAGACAGGCCTTGACATAATCAGTTTTAACATTTTTAGACAACCCTTGACATAATCAGCCGTACTTGATATAAGTGATTTTGGTACTAATAATTTTAGTCATCCGCAAACCGAACCGTAGAACACTCTGCTTGATATACAGCACCTTCCTTGTGCTAATGCTGGAAAAATTATAACTTGCAACTGAAAACCAAACGCATTTTCTTGTTTAATCAGGCTATACCACTGTGTCAGGTCACTTGTAGACCATGACATATAGGATTGTTATATATCATCACATTATAGCTTGAGGAATTTTCTGTCTTCTTCATTCAGAACATCAATAATTGTTCTCTATAGTTTGTAAGTGGTGATATTGGATCAAATCTTGCTTCACAATGCGATGCTATTCGTTTAGATTACCCTGTAGAAACTATACTCTGGCCATCTGTATACTGTAGGCCTATTGGATAAGTACATACGAAAGGGGTTAATATTACAGGTTATTGCTTCTGTTATTGAATCATGTTGGGTCTAGTTCTATTCATATGTGCTTTTAGTTACCTGTCTTTCTCCTGTGAATGTTTATCCATTGTATAATGAACTATCATTTCTTCTCCTTTTCTTGAGAGAGGATGAACTAGCATTTCTTATCTTGGTTCTGACAAAAAAGATTTAGTAGCAATGTCCAAAATTCTGACTGTAATAAACAACTTGTATATTCATTCTGACCTTTATGCTACTCAGAAATTATGCGGGTATCAAGCATTGTCCACAACCATGGATTTGGTGATTTTGACAGGCATCGGTTTAGAAGTCCTAGCCCTATGTCTTCGCCAAACCCAAGATCTAATCGCTCTGGAAATGGGTTTAGTCCTTGGAATGGGCTACACCAAGAGGTAGGCATTCTGCAAAACTTATTTGCCATCCAATGCATCAATGTATTCTGAGCTTAGCAGTTTATAGTACACTAAAGCCAATAATATGGTAATTCTATGGAAAATTCACTCCCACTTTTTTCTAAGACAGATTGGCTGCTACTCATCATGCAGTGCACATGTTCAAGATGATTTGTCAAAAATACTGATAAAGCATTATCCTTGCCCTTTTTGAACTATGTAAAAGAGATTAGGTTTTCCTCAAGGAACCAGCATGGATTGGCAGGGAGCACCACCAAGCCCTAGTTCTCATGTTGTAAAAAAGATTCTGCGTTTGGATGTCCCAGTTGATTCTTATCCAAATGTATGATACCTCCACTTCATGTGTTATATTAATGTTAACAAAGAATAATTCTTGAGATCTTTTAATTACTTATTTTCCTTTTCCTTTTTTCCCAGTTCAATTTTGTGGGACGCATTCTAGGTCCTAGAGGTAACTCTCTAAAGCGGGTGGAAGCATCCACTGGCTGTCGTGTTTTCATTAGAGGGAAGGGTTCCATCAAAGATCCAGGGAAGGTAATAGTTTCTGAAGTTTGATTTGCATGCACTTCTATTGCTTCTTGAATCATCAGGATATTATTATGCTAACAAGTAGTTACAACAAACTATGTTTTTTCTTAAGATAACAGTAGCATCTTACAGTACATTATTAAAATATTGCTTAGGTATGCAAAATTTGGGTTAAACTCCTGTTGGTAGCACTTTTAATTTCAGTAAGTATATTGGAACTGTCTTCCTCTGCAAGGGATTTCATCTCCCACCAAGCTTGCTATTTTATTACCTCTTCACAGTCCAAATACTGTAATCCCTGTAGCATACAACTATAGCTTACATGGTTGGGGTTTTTTCCCCAATCATTTCGACAGCATACTGTACTTGTAAGCTTCTATTGTAATGATCTTTTTTCCTAATCTTAATAAGATTGGTCGACCGAACTTTCGGCCGAGCCGGCGAAAAAAAAAATGTTTCATCCTGCTTAGCTCATACCAAAGTTTTAATTGCTCTGCTTTTGCCTCCTCATATGTGCTTCGTCCTCTTTCTTCATAGATTCTACTGACCTGCCTAGCGATCAAGCTCATATATTCCCTTCCATGTTTCTTTGAAGGAGGACAAACTCCGTGGAAAGCCAGGCTACGAACATCTGAGTGACCCACTGCACATTTTGATAGAAGCTGAGTTCCCAGCCAGTATCATTGATGCAAGATTGAGACATGCACAGGAGGTTATAGAAGAACTGCTAAAACCAGTGGTGAGTAATTTGCATACACCCTATTTGTGCAGGCCTAGAGTATTTTTGCTAGTCTCCTAGGGTAACTGAGTGCAAAAATGATTGATTCCCGGAGAACCCAAAGAAAATGTGATCCCCTTGGTATTGGTTTGAATTGTTAATAACTATTCTGAATGTTTTCCTCCCCTTCATACTGGTCCTGAAATGTCTTCACCCAAAAGATAGCTCATTTCTTTTATCATGATTATTTACTACCAGTCTCTAATTGCTTCTCTCTGTTTTATTTTGGAAACCCATTCCTTTTTCACATGTTCTGTTCTGAACCTTGTGTTACATAATTGCTTCTTTCTCCAGCAATCCTTTAATTTGTAATGAAGTTTTCGTATGCCTGACTAAACGAAATCGCATCGGCTTCTTCTGCAGGATGAATCACAGGATTTCTACAAAAGGCAACAGCTCAGGGAGCTGGCAATGCTAAACTCAACCCTGAGGGAGGACAGCCCCCATCCTGGGAGTGTCTCTCCATTCAGTAATGGCGGTATGAAACGCGCGAAAACGGGCCAGTAGAGAAGCAACTCTACCACCACCCATTTGAGGTGGTATCCAGGTGCCTTATGCCCTTAAAAAGGATGGCATTGGCACACCTTCAGGCATTGTTTGCCATGGGTGTGTGTGAAGGAAGCAATGCAATGCACCTTCACTAGATGGAGTTTGGTATCAGTCAGATTTTCGCCTTCAGGCAGGGGAAAACTTCAGGGACAATGACAATAGTCGCAGATCGTCCGGTCGATCCACCTTTGGTTTGTTGTAAGGTCTCAAGAACATTTGTTTTATTTGTTATTGACTGTTAACCCTAGTATGTGGTGCTATGGTAGGTTATCTCCATGACAAGCTAGAGAAGGCCTGGGATGTGAGCCTTTTTTTTTCTTCCATTTACCCCCCATTTAGGTGTTTAATTCACCTTGTATTATATCCTTTCACATTTATGGAGCTGTGAAAAATAAAAGAAGGATGAAGGGTCATCCTCTTTCTTCTGCCTTATAGTATGTCAGTATTTGGTTTAGCTGTAAAAATATTCGAGGTTATTCCTCCCTCCAATTTAAATTATTCTAGCTTTGTCCTAAATCAAATAAACTTTGATCACCAATTTTCAAAAATTCGTACAGTTCAACCTACTAAGATATTTGTTTCTAGATTCGCCATAAAAAAATACTTTCATATTATATATTTCATCACATGTTAAACTATACGAATTTCTAGAAATGATGGTGCTTAAGGTTTTGAAGCAGGAGGAGTAAATGCCATGAACTTATGGAATCCAATATGGTCTGTCAAACCCACACAGGCACACACACAGTGTTGATGGGCCATGGTGGTTTGATTTCCAAGCTTGATTGAGTTCATGGAGGCATGGCTGGCCCTGGGTCTCCTCCAAACGCGCGGCATCCTAAGATGAGATGATGTCCGCTTGCTGGGGCACAGGAAAGCGGTGAGACCACCAGGTTTTCCTGACGAGACCACAAGTTTTGCAACGTCATGGTGGTGTTGCAGAGCAGAGGACACGAAAAGAAATGATCTCAATTCTCAAGGGGCAGCTCTGTCAAAGTCTGATGGATTTAGGTGATGGCAATAGTTGTCCCTGTCAGGCTTGGCCATCCATGATGCCAACAGAATATGCTTGCATTAACGGTAGTATATGACTAGCTCAGCAAATTGAGAAAATTTTCTATATCTACCATAGTGGAAGCAGTATCCAGCAGTATGTGCAGAATACAGATCCCAGTTAGTGACAGATTGCTGCTCAATCCAACAATGAGCAAAATCAAATCAGTTGCATATGCAGGAAACCAGCACAATATACTTTTTTTTATAATATAAAAGTATACACCATAAACCAATACATCAAAATTACCAGCGACGTACTGAAAAACCATGGTGCAGACCTGAAGACCGAACATGCCAAACCATGAACTCAAATTATTGGACTACAGATTATCAGGCACACCAACACAAAAGACATTCCACCCACCACATATGTCAAGAAAAGGTGGGAATATATTTCCAGACAAAATATACTAAGCTTAACAAGATTACGAAAAAATAAATTAAAGACCACATGCTAGTATAATTAATACTCAAAAGAAAAGATGACACTATGTTATGTACGTATGTACACCAGATATGTATTCCAGCACCAGTACTGTCCACATTAAACAGCCAAATATGTGTTCCAGCCCAACAGTACTGTGCACATTAAACAGTCAGCTGCCGCAGAAGCTATATTGGCCATAATTAAACCTGGTATCTGTTACTATTAGACGGGCAGGTGCAGTAGCCATAAATCCAATAAAAGAGGACTTCTATATGAACTATTAATAGAGCGGTATATAGCTCACAAGTCCAATAAAAAAGGACTTCTGTATGAATTAATAGCTCATTATATAGCCTACAAGTGCAATAAAAAAGACTTGTATGCATTAGTATTAAAAAATAGCACATTATCGCTGCGACAAGATTCATGATGTACATGCTACATAGTCATCAAACAAGGTAAGTAAATCTATCATGGTAAAGTTGAGGCCTGAATATGCACGCAGCGGCAAATCTTTTAATCAAACTATAATGGCATGACCTGAAAATTAACAGCAAACCGCACCTATCGGGAAAAAAGCAATTAACTACTAACACAAATAAAAGAAACAGATGGTATTGATAACCACTTACTGCAATAATTTTCTACTATATTTTATTCTAATCGAAGAACATGTCTATATCTCACATCAAAGGTCTTATTTAGATGCAACATACTAATTCCACAACACCTTATCGAAGCCTACCATACTGCATCACATATATCAGCAACCATACCGTATATACACATCATAACCTTACCAAATCAGGTCACATGCAGAGTCATCTTCACATCATAAGTTCAATACTAACCAAAATTACACAATACCAAGTTTCCAATGATGCTATGCATAACAATAAAGCTGCTAACGATAGTAATTACGGATAATTGGACCCTCAGGCCCCGCCAACTTCTTCCACACAGGCGGACACAGCATGGAAGGCACGGACACGGGTTCCACAGCCCGATCGCTTCTTACGCTTGCCTGAAATCATCGTCCACATTGGCTCCGGAGCAAGCACCTGGACCTCACAGCTACTGGCCTCCTCCTTGACCCGACCGCCACAGCTCTCACCTTCCTCCTTCACCCGTGGAAGAAGGGTCGGCTTAGCTGTCCCAATTGGCAAGGTGATTGGCCTCACAGCTGCTTCAGGCGGTGAAATAGTTGGCTTGGGTAGCTCCGGCGGCAGCGAGTAGCAGCGGACGGAGGCGAAGTTGGTGGCGGCGCTGGAACCGCGGAGGCGGACGCTGGCGGCGTCGTATGCGGCGGCGGCCTCCTCGGCGGTGTCGAAGGTGCCGAGCCACAGGCGGCGGCGGAGGTGAGGGTCGCGGATCTCCGCCGCGAACCTCCCCCACGGCCGCTGCCGCACGCCGCGGAACCGCGCGGTCGGCCTCGCCTCCCCCGCCCCCGCCTCCATCACGCGGCGCTTCACGCCCCCACCACCACCACCACCACCACCCACCTTACCCCTCCGCCGCGGCCGAGGCTGCGCCACCGCAACCGCCTCGTCCTCGCTGGAGGACGAGTCGGTGGCGTCGGCGTCGCGCACGAGGATACGCACCACGCGTCCCCGCGGCGCCGCCCCCGCCGCCAGCTCGTGCAGGCTAGGGTTTGTACCCATGCCTCGGGAAACCCACCTCAATCCATACAGGGTGTTCGATCGATGTGGCTACGCGTAGCCTCCGCGCCCCGCCATGGGAGCGTGGGGGGTGGAAGGCGAGGTGGGGGGGCTAGGGTTTAGGGTTAGGGTTTGGTTCCGATCGATGCGGCGGCGTGCGGCGGGGTGGGGTTGCAATGGAAGCGGGAAGACGAAGGGGAATTTTGTGGAGACGCGGGGACTAAAAGGAAGGCGGGTAGAGGGGTAATTCTGGAATTTCACGTGGGAATATTGGAGAGGAATCTACTGTTCAGGCAAATCGGATGGTGGGGATATTCTCAGAACATGGGATTTACTAGAAAGATGCTAATATCCGACAATGATTATGATTTTTTGTTGCTGGTTTTTTTTGTATTATGAACTTATTATTATTATTTAAAAGCAAATACAAATCAAATTTAATTTACCCGTCACTTAAAATGTGGGAGAGGAGAGTTTTTGTCACCTACAAGAGTTTAATAAATTGTTTGTGTCAAAACTGTGTAGTTATCTTATCTTGAAAAAATATATAGTTACCCTAAAAAATAGAAAAATAAGTATAGTTTCTAAAAAAAAACTTCATCGTCTAGTCAGGTTCCGAAATATTTGTATGAATGAATGAAGTTATAGTTGGTTATGTTCTAAACGAGGCGTGACCGTGAGAATTAATACAGTGAGACAAGTGCAGTGCAACGTGTAACGGTGTAAGGGTGAAAGCCGATCTTAAAAATAAAATTATAGGTTATTTAGTTAAACTGGATGAGTGTAAGAATTACCCGTGAGTTAGCCGTGACCATACCAATGAATACTCCAACACGTATAAGACTTGCAATAATAGAGTTATGATCTGATTCTTTACCGGATAATATAGATCATAGATCCTCTCAGCTCACTTCCATAATTTTGATTATAACAACTTAACTCCCAAAGTGTGTGACAGGTGTTATGTATACAATTCTTTCACACGAAAGCTAAGGCTGCACGTAGCATGCTACCATTGGCCACTGCGTTCACAATGCACGGGTGGCCCTGCAGCTGGGGCGATCTCACAGGTTGAGCATCACCAACTGAAAACCAGCATATTCGCTGATTGGCAATGCGATTCGGCGCCCGGGGATGAAATCAAGTAGTAGAAATGTCAGGTACTCAGGCATACCCTTCACTTCTACGGTAGCTATATACTGTATATATTCCTCTGTTCCAGAGTTCCGAGTGAATCAAGAATTTTTTTTAAAAAAAAAATAGGGACAATTGCTTATTTGACCCTGTTTCGAAACCTAACTACCAATTTAACTTTAATTTTTCTAGTTTGCTTATTTGACAATGCTTTTCGAAAAAGAAACAAGAAAACCATTCCCCTAAACACCCAAAGCATTTTCTCCAGATACCACAAAGCAGCAAGGGACAAGCTTCAAAAGCACCAGCATATCTGTGATTCGCATGTCTTTACAGAAACAGCAAGCTTCAGATTCTCATTTGTCCAGCCCAACTTGCCACATTTCCTTGTCTGAGCAAGTTCTTTTCTAGTACTATATGTAAAGCAATCCATATTCGTAACGAACGGATATGAAAAGATGCAAAGAGAACTCCTTGGTTATATTGCTCACCATGATTGCACTCCATCTGTCCATGTTCATCACTCCATCTACATATGAGCAACATCGCTTTTCCAGCATTATTTCCACTCTTCATGGCTACCATGAAAGAATCACACAACCTCCTTATACACAGAACTACATTGCCATCCACGACTTTAAAGAGGTACAACAGGTAATGGTAATATAGTCAACAACAGTTGCGGTCAACTAGTACAATCTGAATAAATCAGGTTCCGAAAGAGAAAAGAAAGGTAAAATAAAAAGGAAACAGGCTCCTAGTTTATGGAAAATTGAAGCCAACCTGCCTGTCAAATTCAAATGACACCGCTAGCCGGGAGAACATTTTCAGCAGATTGGCGCTCAGCAGAACTTCCAGTGGTTGTTGCAGTTCACGCATGTCACAAATGTTGTCATTGGCTCATCAGCACTCCGAGTCTGCAGCTGGTAGTAAGTCGTCTTCCGCTGGCCACACCTGCCACACTTGAACTGATCAGTAGTCGCCTTTGGGGCTCCTCCACGCTCACAATCGAACAAAGCCTTCTCCTTGATCTGCTTATTCTCAAGCTTCCTCGCGTCACTAGCCATCTCTTCTGGAGATATGTCAACAAGCCTCTCAGGCCTCACTTGGCCAAGGAGAACCCTTCTTCGGAAATCAGTGTTGTTGTCAGCTCTAAGATTGAACATTATTGACCTGTATTTTGCCTTGTGAGCCCCAGTTGAACGTCCCAGCCTCTCAAATAACGCAGATTCAACGGTCACAGCAACTCTGAATGGATCTCGTGCATCCACTTCATCTAAGATGTTTCTCACTTCCTCCCTGTCATCTTTGCTAGTCTCTCCATGAACCCTGGAGAAGGCATCTGCAAGTAGTTCCCGGATTTTATCTCTAGTGGGATCATTGCATTTGACAAGAGATGTCAGCTTTGGGGGGCCATTTGGAACAGAAGATGGCTTCTTTGTATCAGGAGTTCTAGTGGCTTCCTTTGGAGCCCTCTCTACCTTGACTTGTTGGTTTTTGGAATCATTATTGGTGATCTTCTCAACCTTGATGCTCTCAGGCTTCTGGCCCCTAACATTGACTTCTCTTTTCTCAGGCTTCACACTTCCTGATGCAGAACTCTTATCAACCTTCATGGGCTGAGCCTTTTCAGCTCTGGCGGCTGAGTTGGTTGATCCAACATTTTCTGTGGTACCATTTTTCTTTCCTTCTTCGATAACAACCTTTTTCCAGTACCCCAGAAGATCTGTAGCCATGGATTGTATGTCTGAGTGAGGGTGCTTAGTAAGGTAACGAAGACGTTTTCCAACCTGGCAAAATAGAAAATATCAGGCGAGTCCATTTTTCGCAAAAATATTAAAAGAACTGCACAAAAGTAGAAGAAGAAATGAGAGAAGTAAACAAATAAGGGAGAAAGTAGAAGTTTGTAACAAAAGCACTAAATCCATAGAGTAGAAGTCTGTAACAAAAGCACTAAGTCGATAGATTAATAGGCCCTCAAAAGGAGATTCACTGCTCAGTGCTCACAAATCAATAATGTTGCTAAGCTCTGTATCATGTTCAGAATATAATTATATGTTGATGGATATGCAATCTTGAATATCAGATGCACTGATATGTGTGGCTAGATATGAAGAAATCACACATGAAGGAAGAATGCCACTACGGCCTCTCAGGTTCCGAACTGCTACTTCAACCCCATGGCACTCATGTATGCATGTTTAGGGGGAAACACACGAGACATTGAAAAGAATTGATTAGATAACTAATATGAGCAGGGGGAAAGGCTTGTCGAGCTCGACAACTTGTTATGCCTTAAATAGAATAGAAATGATGATTTGTTATGCATATCTATAAAAGTACAAAGAAAATTATTACATCTTAAAGACTAGCCGTTTCATGTTCCGCCCGATTTTACTGCCAAATCAGCTACACACATAACTACTTGACAGAAGACAGTATTTACAGTCTTACTTGTGAGGTCATGGAATTTAGTTTTCAGATAAGCCAAATGAATCCCCACATATTCCGCATGTTTCTCCCGCCAAATCAGAATCCCATGCACATCTCATTCATTACACACACAAAAATTTGCACCTTTTATGTGCATCAGCACACAGTAGTATACTATATTCAACCCTCACAAATCAGAAAGGTGGTGCTTAGGAGATCACTACTACAGAGTTCCCCTGAACCCTGAACATTAAGGGGTAGCAACAGTGTTGCAGCATTCCTTTCACAGATCTCAGCCAAACCCTCGCTCACGGACAATCCCTGCATCTAACTCTCTAGAGAACGCACCAATTAGAGACAGGAAAGGAGAATGGAATCATCTTTGCACTTAATCCGCAATTCACATCCACGAGATCTAATCCCAATCGAGAGCCCCATGTCTTCGCATGCCTTCATCCCTCTCGCCATGAATGTTAGAACGAATCAAGTAAATTTCGACAGACTAACCAAAATCACAAGCACACAGAATCCGAATCGGATGCACCAATACACGCATCGCCACACGGTAATTCCTCACCAGGATTGCCGCTCCCGCACGCATCCGCCGGACGCGACGCAGCAAGCGGCCACAGGGTACTAGGTCGCAGCTCGCAAACACGAATTCGGATCCCGGGGGGATGGGGGGTGGGGCGCGCTCACCTGCGTGGAGACGAGGACGTCGGTGGTGACGCGGAGACCGCGCAGCCGCCGCATCGCGTCGAGGCAGCGGTCGGCCTCCGGGGAGTCGTCCGCCCCGGCCGCCGCGTCGGCCGCCTTCTTGGCGGCCTCGAACGTCTCCAGCAGCTCCCTCTCCATGGCGGGCGGCGCGTCGCCGGCGACAAATCAATCAAAACCCTAGCCGCCGCGGGCTCCCCGCCGCCGTCTTCTCCCGTGTGGCGTACGGAGGCGAGCGAGAAAAAGAGAAAAAGAGGTAGGAATTGGGGGTAGACGAGGCTTTATAGGAGCGGGAGGCTGTCAGAAGCCGACACGGGTGGCCGTTGATTCGGAGGAGGATTCTTCTGGAACGAGTCCGATCGGACGGCTGGGAGGCGCGCCACGTGTCGAGTGTTTGAGCTGTTGTTGGGATCAGGTCCTCTCTGTTTTCTTCAGAAATGGCAGAGTACACGAAGCAGAGGTCAGTATTTGTATGGTACAGAAAGGGAAGGTGTTTTCAGGCTTTCTTTCAGGTGTTCTGATCTCACGTTGCCTATCTCTATCTCGTCACATTGCCTTCAGCTTCCGATGCAACGCCAAAAAAGAGAGGTGCTCCATAATTTTGTAAGGACATTGACGTCACAATGATATTCATAGCTAAAAGTTATTATATTTTGGAACGGATGTAGTAGAGAACTCATCACAACACAAAAGTTTGTCATTCTTCCCAAAATGTTACTGCTACCAAGATGTGATATTACCTATAATACTATACAAATATGGACTTAGACCTATCCAGATTTGTACTAGTAATAGTTAATGTCACGTCCTATTTTAGGTAGCAATATTTTTGGACGGATGTAGTAGTACTCTCTCCAATCCAAAATATAACAATTTTTAACCTTCAAAATCTATTCCAAAATATAAACTTCACCTATATTCTTTTCACAACCAATCATAATCTTCCACCATTTAAATTATCTACTTACTTTCTTAGTACTCGTATCCAGCTCTGAATCTTCTTATCTTTTGCCCTTTTGGGACGGAGGTGTACTAGAAAACCATTGATTAAAAAAGAGAGAACTTTGATGAATATGCTGAGTATAGGGACTATAAGATGGATGTGACATTGGGTTCTTTAATGCTTGACACATGAAACTGGTTTGTAAACAGCCAAATCTTCCTCAGATTCACCCTCTCCTGGTGATAGGGAAAAAAGGGAAGAAAGAAAAGTAATCTGAAGCACCATAGGAGATCCTTGGCAGCTACAAGCACTGTATGATGATCTGCTTTGGTACCTTACAACCAGTTTGCATTCTGGGCATTGTTTGCGACCATAGCAGAGGACTGGCCGCCATCAGTAAACTTAGCCAGAGAACGGTATTGCAACTTCACACTCTCTGCATTGTCTAAGGTCTTCACCACATACCTGGTGTGCAGGTACCGGGTAAGCACGGTGTTTGATATCAACGATGATCATATTAAAACTTGGGAAAAAAATGTTTCTAACCATCCATTTAGACACTGTGCTGTCACAACTGCTACGCGTCCCACAAATCGTTCTGGGGTCCTTTTGTTGCCCTGAGAAATTCATTTTGCTTGTAACAAATATGGGGCAAACGGAAACAAAAGCGAGTGTCTACACAGATAAAATACCTTGATTATGACTCGGTCAAAGACAGCAAAAGGAAACTGGACACCTTTACCTCTAGAAATCTCAGTTGGATTTGGTTCATCATTGCCACATTTGTCCTCATTTCAGAGAAAGAACAGAGTTTAGAACACTAAATAACACACAACAAGTGTTCAAATCCAAATATTAATAGAATAGATGAGAAAAGTTTGATACCTGCTCAAGGCGCTCTCTTCTTCTTTTTAGAGATTTAGCTGACTCTTCTTCGCGTTTAAATGCCTGAACTGCAAGGCGGAGAGCTGAAAATGTGCAAAATAAAATGATGTTAACAGCACAGAAAGAAGCCAAAATAAAAATCATGGGCATGGAAAAAACCAAAAGTCTGTGTACTTAACTAGCAAGGATAAAAAAAAGGAAGATGTTGAATGGTACACGTTAGTAGAATGGCATAGATATCTGAACAGCTTGGCATCAACTATTGTTTGTTACCAAAGTTTTACAAGAAATAAGAGTATTCAGCCTATGGGATTAAGTTGCAACAATTATGCAAATATCTCAACTTATATCCCCTAGAACAAACTAAGATTAGGAGATGGTAGGAAACTGCTGGTCCCCTTACAACTAAGCAGATGAAATGACAGTGTCGCACAATACCAATTTGGCAATTTGACAATTAAATCAGAATGTCCCCTTATAACTAAGCAGATGAAATGACAATGTCACACAACATCAATTTGGCAATTAAATCAGAATGAAAAAAAAAAGGGTACATACCCAAGTTTGGTCGAATAGAGTCCTCGGTAATTGGCTGACCACATTTGCCACAAGCTTTCTGCATGGCAAGTAGAAACTATTCCATGTCACTTCCACATGCACTTGCAATGTCACATCCCCTCCCCTCCCTCTGTCAGTAGCACTGTAATATCAGGTTTTCCCGTTTCCAGGATTATTTCAGTAATGTTTTGCCTTGAAATTAAATATTAGTTGATGCATTGCTAGTGCAGACAAGATAATGTTCTTGGAACCCTCAGTTGATACATTTTTTTTAAATCTGATGTCACTACCTTAGAAAAGCAAAGAGTATATGTCATGCTTCTCACTGGACATAAGCCATACCTATGGACATATGAGCAGAGCACAATAAAAAACACTATACTTTAAGACGAACAACCTCTACAAAAATATGAACAAAACAAAATTGGGGTAAGAAAGTCTCAGCACTATCAACGACTATATGCAGCAACAAGCAGGATGCAGATGCCAACACACAAAACACTATCACACGGTAAGGATCCTTTGACAAACCATTCTGTAGATATGCTGCATTCCATTACTTCCATAAGAGTGCCCACACGATAGAATCATTGCATCATCCATGAGTATACCTCTACAAATTAAGCCGCAAGACAGTAAATGAATTAAGATGTTCAAATACTTTATCCCAATTTTTTATTTATATATTATCAGACCAAGGCATGATTTTGATGTGACAAACTCAAGTGTTACGCATATCTAGTACTCATAATCAGGATAGAGGCAATGACTAGCATAGAAGCAAGCTCTTCCAATATAATTTAAAGAGTAACTAATATAGATAGCATGTCATAGCCTCAATCTTACGCTCCATTGCTCAAGTACTACTACAAACTAATCAAGAAGGTGAAACAATAGCCAGGTAATCCTTGTTAATCAAACATTCAAACACTAAACTTTCCAAGAGAACAACAATCATTCGGAGATACCCACGTCAACGGATCGGAGAGGTGTGCTCTGAGTAGGTCCCAGTAGCTGGATGCAGGACCTCCCTCTCTTCTCCCAATAACTCCATATCCATTCTCCACCCTCATCTCCCTGGGGATGGTGCTGGGTTCATCCTCTCTAGACGAGGCATGCCCATACTGCTCGTTCCCACAGTTGTAGATGTGGCTGTGCTGCCATTGCTGCTCCTCTTCGATTTGCCTCATTCCATTCCCCCTGTTCATCCCTGCCCGCCCGATTCCTGGCGTGTCAATCAGCCAAGAAACAATTGATCAATTTCACATAATAGAAAAATATTAACGAGATGTTTGTTTGCTCGAATGCCACATGAACCCAGCTCAATCCTGGATATTATTTCTTTTTCACAAATCGAAGCAATTCTACAAGCTTAATTTACGACCTTGCAAGAGCAAAAGCAGCTCGCGCTCGCGCGAACCCTGTGCTCACCTGGAGTGGAGGCGCACCGCTGCTGCGAGCTGCAGGGCGCTCCGTCCGCCAGCTCGGCCTCCTCCTCCTCGTCGTCTTCGTCGTCGTCGCCCTCGTCGACCTCCTCCACGGCGTTGTCGCCGTCGGAGTCGCCGCCGCCGCCGGGGTGGGGTTGCTGCCGGAGGAACGGGGCGGCGGCGCGTGAGGCGAAGTGGGACGCGGCGGGGAAGGCCGCCGGCGCGAGCGCCCCACTCGAGGAGGCCGCGCGGTGGGCTCCCGGAGGAGGAGACGCCATGGCGGTCAGGGAGATCGAGAGAGAGAGAGAGAGAGCGCGAGTCTGCAACCACTGTGTTTCCTAGCGTAGTCCAGCTGAAACTGTGATGCATTTTAGCTGAGCTTAAGGAATTTGAATTTCACACAAACAAATTCTCGTAAGCTTTGATCGTTTGCTTGTTTGCTTCTCAGCCATAGCTAAGATTTGAATTTTAAAACTTAATTTTTTTAGAGTTTGTATCGAAGTTTATTTTGCGACATTAGCTTTTATATAGTTAAGAATGTAGATATAAAACTTTTACTTAGAAATTTTTTTTGGCTGCTTCATTTATTAGTCCACGGCTTATAAGCCGAATGTAGTGTTCCTATATTTAAAAATTCAAACGGGCTTGTTCTAACTGACATTACAATTTATTCGTATCTAATTCCATTTCAAAATTCAAATGGACTTGTATAACTGACGTTACAATTTGCTTATATCCAGTTCTAAGTTTAGATAATTCATCTTCAGATTCAAAGCATCCTTTTTACGTTGACAGGATATGAGATCCACCACGAGTGTTTTCAATCCAGGCCACTTTGTGCCTCCATGTTAAACCTGAAGTCAGTGATCAATGATCGGTAATCAACTGAAAATAGATCAAAGAGCACATGAAATAGTGGTAAAGCAGCTGCCAGCTATACATATAGCTTGCATGAGTTGCATTTCAACTTAATTTCCTTTGTGTCATCAATACAACAGCTATCCTACACTGAACAAGATCCCTCTTGTTTTACACATAACCTAAGCTAACTCTTTACAGCACCAAAGGGAAACCGTCTCAGGACATGCATCACATGTCCTCCCATTGCCTGCCTTCTTGAGGCGAAGAGATGGCGGACGACGACTGAGACCTCCGAGAGCTTTGTTTATGTCCTCCCATTCCCAGCCTTCTTTGAGGCAAAGAGATGGCGGACGACCGAGAGCTTGCTTGTCGCGCGAGAAACGATAGAAGAGACAGCAGAGTTCTTGCCATTCAGCGATGACGCTGTTTCTTCCGATTCCACGTCTTCGTTTGATTCTGAAGGAGGTGGTGGAGGTATTGTCATGAGGAAAGCATCCAGCATGCGGATGATCTGGCTGAAGCTAGGCCTCATGGCAGGATCCTCGACCCAGCATGACTGCACAATGAACACAAGCTCCTGAGGGGTCTCCTCAGGAAGGGGTGGGCGCGCTTGCTGTCATTAGAGACGAGAGGGAAAATATCAGCTCAGTGCATAATGCAAGTGAAAAGATAGTGACCGTCAAGATAGCTAAAGTTCAAAGCACAGGTCAAAATAATTAAAGAAAGGTGATACAGTCATGTATACCAGTTGAATGGTGCTAAAAAAATCTTAAAATTACTTGTGTCAAAAATTGCCATGACCTTCTCTCTTCTGGAAGCCAAAAACGAGTCATTGAACTAAGTTGATAAAAATTCACAACATAAGAAATAGTACCAACTTGTTTAGGGGTTGTAACATTTTAGCCACAAAGGAGACGTTATTAGTAGTAATTTATCACCTGTCTGAACAGGAATGGTTTACAATTAAATAGCATAATTCATGAGGTGTGACAGGTTTATTATACCAGACAATTTTTGAGGCAGTGATATCATTTTTATAGCAAATAATAGTTTCATACCACAGTCTTGACTATTGCTTAACACTTACCTTGAAAGCAGCAGCATATGCAGCTTGTAGATTTGACATGCCTTCAAATGGCATTTTATTAGTCAACAGTTCCCACAGAACAATGCCAAAGCTGTACACATCCACTTTATTTGTGTAATGCTTCTTCTCACCACGTTGAAGAGTAACAGTGCTATATAGCTACAAGATAGAACAAAGAGAGATCTTAAGTCAGGCTTTGTAATCACACAGATCAGTGCTAGCGCAACAACTTTCTGTTTATACAGAAGGTCCTCACGATTTAGAATTACAGCCCACAAGTAATTGCACAGGCACAGAAATTAAATCATAATAATATAGCTTTAGACTGAATTCTTGACCATTGCCTAGAACACTAAAGGTGTGAAAGTCTTTTTTTTAAAAAAAAAGAAATTGGCTTTAGGCAAAAGTTGTTAATTTAAATTATTTGTTGCATAAATTAATGGTTTACAACCTCTGGGGCCATCCAGCGGTATGTCCCTGTTTCAGCTGTCATCATTTCAGTCACAGTTTCTTCTCGTGCAAGACCAAAATCAGTAAGCTTCAGCTTCTTACGATTTGCAGTGAGCAACAAATTATCTGCACACAATAACTTTTATCAGAAAAGTACAAATAATTTGACTTAATGACTGATATGGAAAGTAAGAACTACTGGAGGAAACTATAAGATTAAGCAAGCAAAGCAGAAGAGTAAAAAACAGAAAATACAGCTGTCTCCATGGACATGGAGAAAGGAAATCAGTTTTTATGCTTATGTAAGTAGGAGAAATGACATTAATGCCCCTTACTAAAAATTTTGAATAATTAACTTGCCAAGATAGCTCTGTTGAAAAACGCAAGTTACCTAGGCCTAAAAGAATACATGATGTTCCAATATCATTGATTTTCACTTCTGAATTGAAAAATGGATCAGAAACACATGTGGAGATGTGTTAAAAAAATCTACATGTAACCATAAAATTTTATGTATATATGCAGAAAATTTGGTCAGAAATTATAACAATAGAACAAAAAAACAAATGAAGCACAAGTGCAAAAATAACAGCCCATGCATGCATACCAGGTTTCAGGTCTCTGTGTATTATTCCATTCGCATGCAAACATTCCATTGCATGAGCTATATCCAGTGCATAGCCAATTGCAGTATGGATATCTAACTGGCTGGGCCGAAGGCTGTTCAAGTAGTTTTTCAGTGACATCCCCGGCAATAACTCGCTGACAATAACCATTAATGGTTCCTTGCAAGCTCCAATAAACTGCACAGGTGTGAAAAAATGTTATGAAAATTTCCACAAAAAATTAATGATTAGCTAGCGATGGGTATGATGCGACTGAATTAAACGGGACAAATTAATGAAAAAAAATCAGATTTGTGACAGCAGTATGTTACCCAAACAAGGATCTATTACCTTCACAAGATTGTCATGTTTCACTTTACACATCATATTTACTTCTCGAATGAAACGAGCTTCAAGGGTTGCCTTTTCCTCCGGAGTGGTGCCATTGTTAAGAACCTTTATTGCTACAATTTGTTCACCATACCTATTTCACAGAACACAAAGAAAGGCAATTAATTGCTGACATGAGATATCACAAGTATCCTAGTTGTACTTATATAATGAAGAGTAAGGCGGCAAAGTTTCCAAGGGACCAACAATATCAACTCAATCTGTAACAGCACAAACAGGCAGCACCAAAGGAAACTGGATTTTCAATTATCATGAGTGAGTTGCATGCTGGCTTGAACAATCTCTACTTGACCACAGCAGGAAATCGAAGATAACTGCAGCAGACTAGTATAGCTAAATTAAGTAAGCATAATTAGGGTATTTGGCAGTATATTGGCATTGATCGTGTGGAGATCCGGATGGATAGGACTGGATTATGAATTTATGACTAACATTTCATCGGGGGCCAAAGTGAATCGAAGCACAAAATATCCAACCTAACTGATTTAACTTCCTGAACCTACATGGCCCCAGGAACTCATAAATAGAAGGCATAATTCATACCACATGCTCTGTTGATACATAAAACCTAAGTGATTGCACAGCTGCTTAACACTGCGACTAGATCGGAGTATTCGAATTTGGTGCAATTGAAGCCAAAACTAACGAGTTCGAGCACAAACTTAAAACAAAATCTTAAGAGGTTTCTTCACTTACTTCCCCTTGTAGACCTTGCCATGAGCTCCCTCCCCGATTTTGGATCCGATAAACAAATTCTTGGGGTCAACAAGCAGCTTCTTGTCAATCCAAGAAGCCGGCGATGCGGCGGCGTCCGAGCAGCGCGCCGGCTCCACCAAGTCCCCCGCCGCGACCTTGCTCGGCCGCGGCCGCCTGAACTCCTCGCTGCCACCACCATCCCTACACCCGCCATCGCTGCCGCAGCTCATCGCGCGCGCGCCGCCGCGGGGGAGGAAGCCCAGCCGCCCGCTGGGGGTGGGTCAAGCGAGCTCGCGCTTGCAGCAGCCGAGGCAAGGGAGGGCGGACGCCTTCAACTCGATCCCCCCACCCGAGACGGGAGCCAGTTGGAAGGAGGTCAAAGCCGCTTCAAGAAACACCCACTCTCTCCTCGCCGGCGAGGAGGAGGAGGAAGAGGCCGCGCGGCGGGGTAGGATCAGGACCGGGTCAGGGAGAGGGGGGAGGCTTCCCCACGCCGCGCGTTGCGGGGGTTCTCGCCGGCAGGCCGGCCGCCGAGGAGGTCCGGCGAGAGGAGAGCGCGAAGGAGAGAGGGAGGGAGGGTAGAGTAGAGGAGCGGCGAAGGGAGGAGAAGATGGAGGGGAAGGGGAGCAGGCAGCACTAGCAGCATCTTGGTTCATTCGCCAAATTCTCACCATTTTTTTATTCGAAAGAAAAAATAAAGTAAAATCCCTCCTTTTTAGGGAGGAGAAAAATAAAGTTGGATGAAATTCCTCATGCTCAAAACCACTTACTAAAACGCTCTACCTCGAATAAGGCAAACGACATATTTATAAATAGAAAATAATTTATAAATAAAACTTTTATATACGTTTTCTTAGCGAACTAAAACCAAATGATGAAATACAAACTTCGATAAAAAAAACCTCAAAATCGACTTTAAATTTAAGATTAAAAATTCAAATTTTAGTTGATAAGTATAAGTATAAGCGAAAAGATGTGGAAGTGCATGAGATAAAAACTTGGTTGTGTTCTTTAGTCTACTTTCACAACTATATCTCTCTCGTTTTCTACACGCACATTTCCCAAACTGCTAAGGTACAATTTTTAAAAAATAAATCTATAAAAAAATACTTTTAAAAGCTCATGTAAAACAACCTATTTAAACTTGGAAAAATTTTAATAAGAAAAAAAAAGATAAAATGGATTCAACGTGATAAAACTTTTGCGGATACCACTAGTCCACCACACACCTGATGTTGTAAATCCTATTATTACATACTTATTTTCTACTCAATTCATACTTAGGTTATAATGCAAATAGGGTCGCAGAGAGCCATACATACGGATATTCTGATGGACTTGTCAATATTGCTTAGATATATAGTATTGAGTTTCAATTTAAAATGTGTATTTTTAAGTTCTTTTTCTCGATATAGGAGTAATGATAAACATATATGTAAAAATTCTAATAAAAATACATATAGTCCTCAAAAGCATTTTAAGATTTTCGGTGAAGAAGATGGTTGGACCGTCGCGTGACCCTCGCGTCGCACTCACACGGGCGGCTCAGGGGAGAAAACCCTAGCCGCCCGCGCCGCCACCTCGCCGGCCTCTAGCCGCCTTGTCGCCGCCGCCAGAGCCAGCCGCCGGAAACCGCACGGCCGGCCGGGAAGGCGGCGGCGGGGAGAACATCCTCGGGGAGCCCTTCCTCGGCGTTGGAGGTGGAGCAGCGTCGACGGAGGCGGCGGTCGATGGAGGTGGCTGTGATGGATCCGGGCACGCCGGAGACGGATCCGACCCCCCCGAGCGCGGATGTGGCCGGCGACGGTGCTTTGCGTCCAGCTGCCAGTGGAGGCGGGCAGCGCGTCGGCTGTGGCTGGCGAGCGGAGGTGGTGGCAGCTCGCGGCGACGGCGGCCGACGGAGGCGCGCGGAGGTGGCTTCCGCTGTGCAGCGGCGGAGCTCGTGCGGAGGTGGCTGGCCGGTGACGGCGGAGGCCGGCGGCTACGGAGGCCAGCACCGTGGTGGAGGCGCTGCGGCGGCCGGCAGCACGCGTACAACCAGGCGTGTGCGGGGTGGCTACCACCAGCGCTGAGCAATGCGGCTGAGCTCCCTCGTCACCGTGGTAGCCTATGCATGGCTAGGTGGGGCAAGAAGGTCGGACAAAGGTGGCGCCGGAGCCGGAGCGGCAGCATTTCCGGCGTCGGCGTAGGCCTAGATGGTAGTGCAAAGGGAGCTGGCGGCAGTGGGTCGTCTTCCTCGTTGCCGATCGGTACCCTCGCCCTTCTTGGAGCTCCTCCCCTTCTTTGTGGGGAGTTTCTAGGTTAGATTGAGGCGACAGCTTGTCAACGGGGGAAGCCCAGGTTGCTGAAGCAATGCCACCCAATCCCGGGTTCTCCTTTGGCCAGATTTGGCGAGGAGACTGGCGGGTGGTGGATCGGAAGGGTCCTGGGCCAGCTCTCAGGGATGAAGGTTCGTTGAAGTCAGTTGATGGCGGGGCGTCGGTGCGGTGTGGTGGCAGTCCTGTCGTTGGCAGGACTGGAAGCTGGCCGGTGGAGGGACGTCCGTCAAGTGTGGCGGAAGCCATGTGCCGCCGATGTTTAGATGGTGGTTTCGGATTGGGCGATGGACTACGGCGGTAGGGGGTTCCGAGCGAAAGCTTAGCCCAATTTCTTTGGGCCAACATTGACTTCGCCTTCGGGCGTGGTAACCCTCCTGAGGGCACTGTTGAGGTATCCCTCCTCCCTCGGTAAGGAGCTCTGGGTGAAAACCTTGTCCAGTTCCTTGGACGGAAGACGACGGCGTCTTTCGGCGTCGCAACCCTCGTGAGGGCGTCGTTTTAGAGTCTTCGTGTCGTGGTGGTGTTGTTGGCCCGGTGGCAATCGGTCTCGCATAGCGATGGCCGGTTCGGTGCTTGGCTTCCCTCTCTGGCGTGTGTTTGGGCGGTTGGCACATGGTTCGGGGCATGTGCTCTGGTTCACATCCTTCCTCGACAGCCAGCTGTCGATGTAAAACTTTTCTTGTAACCTTTTTCTTCCTATTTTAATTACATTGAATGACCTCCTTCGGTTATTTCGGCAAAAAAAAAAAAGATTTTCGGTGAAGAAATTAGACGCGGTCCAGTTGAACCAACGCGGGAGGGTTTCACCGTGTGGTCGTGGGTCGTCGTCGTGGCGGTCTTGCGAGGGAAGGGGCCAAGGGGGCCAGCTTTTTTATAGGGAGTAGAGAGACTGGACGAAAGCAAAGCGAGAGAGGAGACGGGAAGTGGAAGCTTTTTTTTTTTCTTGTTGAGAAAAGCTTCTACTCGTATTGGCTGCATGCCCCCTGCTTTGTACCATGGAATGCTCCCCACTCCCCAGTAGGCAAAAATAATACAGTAGCTTTCATGCTTTCTGCTCGTAGCAACAATAATAGTGAACTATATGCTTGTGTGGAATAGAGAGAGAAAAGTGAAGAATGAGCTAACTCTACACATACTCTAAGAAATATTCATTAAATTCATACTTCATCCGTTTCACAATGTAAGACTTTCTAGTATTGCCCACATACATCTGGGCACATATATATGTCTAGATTCATTAACATCTATATAAATATGGGTAATGCTAGAAAGTCTTATATTATAAAACGGAGGGATTAGTGAGAAAGAGAAAAGGAAAAAAAAATAGAGCTAACCTTACCTCTATAATAAACTTATTGTAAGTAGTGAGCTCTATTATTAAATTTGCTCTCAACAGATTTATTATTTTTTTAGGTTTGGCTGTCCTTTAGGTAGGCCAAATTAAATCCGACCAGATTAGTAGTAATGCTACAAGGTGTATACTTGCTTTTAGCGAGATAGGCTAATAGGAAACCAAACCCTAATTAAGAGTCTACATAGTTACCAATACAGATAAATTGTATGCTCCTTGCTACGACTTAACCTAAGCAGCTAGAGTTATAACTAATTTTAGCTTAGAAATTAAGCTTTTACTACTAATTAACTTGGAGGTTTTTCCTTATTTTCGTCACTCATCAATTGTCAGTTGCTGAAGTGTACACACGTAAAAATATCACCTTATTTTCTGTTTCACTAACAATATATGTTTAGCACATAAGTTGCAACAGAAACAATATCTTTCAATCAAACACTAGCTTCTTCTCATGTCAACTTTCTCTTGAATTGAGATAACCATTCATCTGTTGCATAGCCACAGAAGCCGCGGCTCAACAAAAGGCCCAAGCTGGGGACACTTGCACGGTGGACCATTAGCCAAAGTCATGCTCTGCAATTAAAATAGTAGTATTATTAAACTCCAGTGCAGTTCCGTTATCTAAAGAAGGCCGAGTGGGCGTATTTGACTGGGTGGAGCAAAATGGGGAGGGGACGTGGGGACCACGATTTCGATAGCAGCAGCACACACGCTCCCCTCACGGAGCTGTGGGGCCCACCATGATCCACGTGGTTTTAATGCTTTTTCTCTCTCTTATTATATTTTATTAGTATATTGGTTTTTTGCATAATTTTTTTCCCGTATTGGCCTAGGAAAAAAATAGCACACCGTTCACGCGGAATCGTCCACTGGCCGCGATTCTTTATTCCCTCGCCCCCTCGGTTCGTCAGAATTCGTTAAGTGGGACCCACGCAACATTTTCTACTCTCCAGTCCACATAGTGCACTAACCTCCCGGCAGATAATATAAGGGCATTCCCAACCCAATGACTAGTATGGTGTTTATAGCATTAAATAAGTTGTCACCTAGGACAAAAAATAATGTGGCAAGTGAATAAATGAGGAAATAGAAGGAAAACATGTCTTGCATGAGACATGGTTTCTACACAACATCCAAGACATCATGTGATATAAATAGCATTAAATTGAAGTATGGAATAGTGGTGTTTGCATTGGAAGAGTAGTGTCTAGTACTGTTTCTTGATGATGTGGAGTTTATGAAAACCATGTCTAGTGTTATGGGTTGGGACTGCCCTAAGGGGGTGTTTGGGAGACTTTAGCCCCTCTCACAAAACCATAAGTGGACTTATGGTTTTGTCCCAAACACCCCCCTAAGTCTTCTAATTTTTCTTCCAAATTCACTATTTAGGGGCAACTTCACTTCCTTGCAAAAATCAATTTTATTAAAATTTTAATGTTACTATTTTTTTTAAGTATTAGTGTTACCTGAACTTTTAGTGTTATGATATTTAACTTGAAGCTTTTTGTAAAATAAAATTGGCAGTGTTTTTATGAGAGGAAAATTCTCAAAACTAATATTTTTCGTAAGGTAGCAACGATAATACTCCCTCCATCTATTTTTAATAGTCATATTTTCAAATCTGAAAAATTTATTTTTGATAGGCATATTTCAATCCAACAACTTATCATCTTAATGGCTTTCTTGATTAAATGCGTGACTCTCTATTCTTCCACACAAGATTGGCTACATGAGCATCGAGAAATGTAAATATTAATGAATCGTTTGTTTACGAGAAATGACTTATCCTTGGAAACATATTTAAATGAATGATAAGTAGTATCACTTATCCTGGTCTGTGTGACAAGATGAAATATGACTATCAAAAGTAGATGAAGGGAGTATTATATTTAGTCCATTTCCCAATCAAAATTTGCCTTCCCAAAATTTAAGTAGGATTAATGAAAGTGGTAATAGAACGGACATGCACTTAAACTAAATCAGATCAACAATAAAGATGACACGATATTATAGTATAATTCATTCAATATAAATATACTTCCTCCGGTTATTTTTACAGTTGACTTTAACTATAAAGTTTAATCATTTATCTTATTTAAATATTTTATATGAATGTGCAAAGCTACAAGTTAATTATGCTTAAAGTATTTTAATAATAAAAGCAGTCATAACAAAACCAAAGATATTTACATAATTTTCCAATTAGACCAATTGTCATCAAAGTTAAATGCATCAAAATATTATGACATGAGAGGGTAAGATATTACTAGTAAATTTTATTATAGAAAAGATGAATATATTCTTCTAGTTGTAAGAGCATCCGCAATGGTAAAGTAAGGTGCTATCTATAAAACATTTACATCTCAGCAATAGACTAGATTAATAGTAAACCATCTCAATATCTACATGGGTATCTATAGCTCTCTAATACATTGCCTCGTTTTTCTCTATAGACTATCTCCAGATTAGTAGATAACTTTGTTCTCTCTCTTCATTTAATCTCTTCCAAGTAGGAAAATATGCTGATATGGATCTCTTATAGAGAGCCTATAGATAACCATTGTGGGTGCCCTAACTGTATAATAACTGTACTAGTCGATCGTGTTGCAAGATTTCCATGTACCGATGGCCGAACACGTGCCAGTGGTGGGGGCGTAGAGAAAACGATCCATATCCATCCGTCCGCGTGGAGATTTGTCACCTAAATCATGCGACGCTGTCGGTTGTTGCAACTATACATGGCTTTAAACTTCGTGCAGGATTGATCCAGCCATGGAGAAAAATAAAATCTGCATCTTTCTTTTCCAAGGTCCCAAGCGATGACTTCAGTTCATCAGTAGTAGTATAATTAATTAAGCTGTAAGTAATAATGGAGATTAGAGTTGCCGACGTTGACGATCGAATTCGAATCATCATGTACTTTTTAAAAAATTGCATGCTTCCAAACCGTCGTCCCTAAGTCTGTCCCAAGTGCTTGGGTGTGTGATAAAAAGTCTTAACTCTGAACTGAAGAACGCTTGCTGCTATATATACTAGTCTATAATAACAAAAGAAATTAAAAGTCTAACCTATCTTTACCTAACGCTTGAACAACGACCACCGCATCTAGAAACCCTACTACCCTATCAACAAGAAGCCTGATGACGTTCAAAACAAGCCCCTGATTATCATTTACCACTAGTCTATAATTAAGTCTCTTCTTTATTTACTAAGTACTCCAAACTGAGGTTGAATTGAAGTCACCCGGTGAGAATTTTAATTGAACTTATGTGTTCTCAATTTTCAAAAACGGCTAAGATCATTAATTTACACCGTGTACATCCCTAATTTGAGCAAAGGCCTTGTTATTAAAAAAATGGTCATTATTGCACTATAGTTTGTAGTTGATGCAATGCATAATCAACGGCTCTACATGCACAGCCTACATGTCATTAGGGGATTTGGTAAATGTCCCTAGCTAGCTCAAGTAAGCAAAAATAAAAATTTCAACTCTCAACAAAAGAGGAGAAGAAAAAAAACACCTATCACCTAGCACACATCAGTCCTGTCATACGTACTAGCATATGCTTAATTACTTGTTCATATATAAACACATATACATGATGTGAGTGACAAAGATCCAAAGATGCTTTGATGCAATTGCATGGGACCAGACATGACCTCATCACACACACACACACACACACAAACACACACCAAACAAAACCCAATAATTGTGCTCCAAAAAAGCTTGCAATGAAAGGGAAAAAGAATGTGGAGCTCAAGCTATTGCATCTCCTTTTCTCTCATCGCCATCTTCAGAAACAAACACAACATGCATATGCATGCACAAAGAGAGGCTCTGCATATATGATCTTTCATGGAATCAGACAAGGATGCCTCTGCATATATGCATTGTGTCTCTCTCTTTGCCTACCTTGATCCCCTATCATTGGCTGATGTGCCTGAACTTTTTCTCTCTTCCTCTGTGTGCTCCCCTTATGGCTTAAAAAAATTTCTTACACGGTGTGCACGCAACACAACAGCCACACGCTTACGAATACATCCTCTAACACTCTTTCGAAGAGACAAAAACCAACGATACATTTCTGATCTTACTAAATTCCTGTTAAAAACTCGTCTATGCAAAGTATTCGTTAATTCGTAGATAACATGATTTGAATCTTAGTGGGTAAGACTAATGCACCAACGACTCCGGCGCCACACCACTAGTGCAGTAGTGCTCGTGCTTCCTCTTATTCCTACAAAATATGAGCATTGATCAATGGCTTTGGTTTCAAAGGGATATCAATGAAGGAAAAAAAAGGGCATTACATGTACTGTGTATGTGTGTTGATTTGTATATATATAAGCTTGTGGTTTAAACTTGCTGTCTGGTAAGAGGTCACTGTCGTTCACCATCTCTCTCTCTCTCTATCTCATGGCGATCTTGTGTGTCATGCACTTGTTTTTTCACAGGGTAAGGTGCAAGTGCGACATCCACTGCTGCTCCTTTTTTCTACGAGGAGAGAGAAAAGATGGAGAGAGAGAGGGGAAGCTTCTTTGTTTATGTCTTCTGTTTTTTGTTTGAATATATTTCTTTCTGTCTGTCTCTTGTTAGAGTGGAGAGGAGGAAAGAGATTCGTTGATGTGTCAACTATCAAGCAAGTATGCATGATGGTTCGGTGAAGGATATCCTTGACCTTTGGGATGATCAAGGCAGTAAATTCAACGTTGTGGTTTAGACTTATCGCTTGTTCGATGGCTAATAAGTCTTGAAAAAAAAAGAATCAATATAATATATATATATACTTATATATATATATATATATATATATAGTAAATTTGTTTGGTGCTCCATGGTGCCCGGGCACCATTGTTGAAATTGAGTATATACCCAATTCAAATGAGTATGAAACTTTTTCGATTACCTAGGTATTAACATTAACTACTTTACTAACTAGTTTAAAGCAAGTTTGAACTGAATTTGAACTTGTTTTTGTTAGATTTTGATTCTAGGTATATAGCATCCATACATATAATTAGTTAGGTATGTAATCATGGATTGTGAAATAAAGTTAAATTTGAGTTGTTTTGTTGATAAGTATAGGTATGAATCAAATTATTATAACTAGGTATATACTCACAATTTGAAAATTTTGAAAAATTTGAGTGATTTTGTGCATTAGATACCATGGTGCCCGGGCACCATGGTGCCCCATATGAGTGTCCTATATATATATATAAGTATACAACTTATATATATATATATATATATATATATATATATATATATATATATATATATATATATATATATATATATATATATATATATATATATATATATATATATATATATATGTGTGTGTTCATAGTGATTTAAAAATAAATTTAAAAAAATTAAATGCGGTGAAAAAGCTTTGAAATCAGCTCTAAATCTAAATTAACCTTTAAACTTTAAAATTTGATGGTTGTTGATAAGCCAATGAGTAAAAGATGGAGCTACATCAATGACAAACTCTCTTATGCTCCAACAAAGTCAAATGACCTAGTGGTGAGGAAGCCTTTTATTCAACCTCTTAGAGCAAGGATAATAATATAACCCACTTTTTACTATTAGCCCATTCTAAAGACAACACATATAATAGATTAGCTATAAGATTGGCTATAATTTTCTTCTCATATCTCTCTATCTCTCACTTATACATTTAATGTATTTGTCTTGGAGCTTGTGTTAAGCTAGCTCTTGCATAAGAGCCAACAACATTCTCTTTTGTTTACCTCTCTCCTGCATATAAGCTTATAGTAGGCTTATAGCTTACTATTATACTTGCTCTTAACCCGCTTGGACTTTAATACTGGATTTAGCGTTGGTGTGTCTATGTTAAAAAAAAAAGAGTAAAGTCAAAAGAAATGCGAATAATTAACTGGCTAAACTGTTTGGGTGGCCACTGTCCACATGCCCACATCATCTTCAACTGGGCCTACATAGGCTTTACATGGTGCATATATCTCGGCCCATTAACTTGTTAGCCCATCTCGGCCCAATAAGCCCAACACAAGCGCTACAAAATCCCCATCGCTTCATTCTCCGCCGCTATCCCCCCTCCCGCCGCCGCCGCCGCCGCTGCAAACCCTGGCTCGCGGCTCGGACCAACGGCAGCCATGGTGAGCTCCTGGAACCCTAGCGACCGACCTCCTCTGTTATTCTCTCCTCGCCGTTGTTGCCTCACTGATCTGGTTTGTTGGTGTGCAGACGTGGAAGCGGAGGAATGGCGGGCGCAACAAGCACGGCCGCGGCCGCGGCCACGTCAAGTAGATCCGCTGCTCCAAGGTGTTCTCCCAGAATCCATTCCTCTGCCACGAATCTAATGGTAATTGCTAGATCGTGTTGCTTCACTAGTAGCCTAAGCAGTGTGCGAGTGTTGAAGTTAATACTAGTATTACCTTGAAAGGGCTAGCTTTTCTCACCTGGGGTGGGGGTAGGCAAGGTGAATAAAAAGCGGTTGTGAAACTGATAATTATCGATGAGAAATGGCGACATTTGTGCCACTTAGATGGAAACGGAGCTCTGGAATGTGTGTTGTCACAATTGCTGTCTGAGATTCTGTGTCACTTTGTGTGGGATTTGTGAGTTCCCTCTAGCTAACGCGGTAGAACTTTGTTGCTGTAAGCTTGGCTCGACAATTTCGTGAGCGGCTCAAATCATTCGTAGTTTGGCGGCTCTGTTGTGCTTGTGTAAGAGATTCCAGGATAGTGACAGGTGCCTTGATTTTATAGGGTATGCCTAACGTTGAGGTCCCTTGTTTTTACAGGACAAGGCTATCAACCGTTTCTTGGTGAGGAATATTGTTGAGCAGGCTGCAGTCTTGAGATATGCAAGAGGCTTGTGTACATGATGGTTGAACATCTGTGGCTATCTTTTTGTTTGATGATTGAATGCTGGTGGATGGTTAAACATGCAATCGTCATGTTTATTTGTCCAGGTCACGTTCTTCCTAAGCTGTATGCAAAGGTGCATCACTGCGTTTCATGGAATGCAATTCATGCTCACATTGTCAGTGTTCGCTCTTGCGAGAACAGGAGGAATTGTGAGCTTCCGCAGCATTTCAGGTGCAGGGTATACAATTGCTAGCGCTTGTTTTTTGAAATATGCACAAAATTTTCTGAAGTTTTTTGTCGAATAAATGTCATAATTAATTCATTTTTTCATTGATGATGATTGTATCATGTTGAAGTCAACTACTTACTCTTAGTGCCATTTCTACATCGCTTTTATAGGCGTTGCATTCACTGTGTATATACTGCAATGGATGCGTCAACGAAAGCGTAAATGAACATGTGTTGGTGCATTGCAGGCTTAAATGTGATGACTGATGATTACTTCAGTCATTCATGAGTTCCTGTTTGCACACATTTGTGTAGGAAATCCCTAATGCACATTTACAACGGATAGTAGAATTGGCAACTTTGAGTTTATGTTGTGTTTCAGATGCACTATATAAATCAGTAGCATCTTTTTTTGTCTTCATGTGGTATTTACTTTTTAAAGTTTTTGTTCAATAGATATTTTATAACAAGTAGCGTTCAAACACTTGCAATAATAGTACGTTATTACTGTCGCTTTTATAGGCGTTGCATTCACTGTGTATTGTACTGCAATGGATGCGTCAACGAAAGCGTAAATGAACATGTGTTGGTGCATCGCAGGCTTATCTGTGATGACTGATGGTTACTTCAGTCAGTCATGAGTTCCCTGTCTGCACATATTTGTCGAAGAAATCCCTGATGTGCATTTACAACTGATAGTATACTGAATTGGCAATTTTGACTGTATGTTGTGTTTCGGACATAGGTTAAATAATCAATAGCATATATTTTCTTCATAAGCTAGCTACCTTTTAAAGTTTTTTCTATGCATATTTCATAACAAGTACATTCAGATACTTGCATAATATATACTGTTTCTGTCGCTTTTATAGGCGTTGCATTCTCTGTGTATGTTGCAGTGGATGCGTCAACGAAAGCGTAAATTAACATGTGTTGGTGCATTGCTGGCTTATGTGTGATTACTGATGTTAATTCAGTTGGTCATAGGTTCCTGATTGCACTCATTTGTCATAGCGTCTTGACATTCCTGTGCAATATATGCTAGAATTGATAGTTTTTTAGGTCAGATATGCAATATATTAACAATTCATCTTGTTTTTGCAGACCTTCACTGTTATTGGACGACCACCTACCGTTTAAAGAGCTTTTCTTTCAGCACACATAATGCAATTCTTTTGAAATGCATGCAGAACTGTACGGATCTGTCTTTTCGCTGATCATTGTGGATGACATATTTCAGATTGCACTGGAAAATATAGTTCTGCAAGCTGTATCTGAGTTGTCCGAGAGCTGAAGCGTTCATCTGATGTTGTATCTTGGAATAACTTGATGTCTCCTTTGGTGGTATCAAAGACAAGCCAAGTATCCAAAAGCATGCTGATTTAACATCTGAAACTTGTGCAGGGAGGTGGTGCTGCGCCTCCTGCACCAGCTGCTGCCCGTGCCGGAGTTTCAGCTCTGCGCACCTTGAGCTTCTCTCCAGTTGTTTTTTGTAGCTGAGTTTGGGATTTTCTTTTTTTTTTTTTTGGGGGGGGGGGGGTCAATCGATCCATGTTGGACTGTTTCGGTTCTTTTCTGCTGTAATTAGTTGTATTTAAGTTCTCAAATACACGATTTGTTGTTGTGTTTATTAACACAATTGCATTATCCACAATGGGAATAGGAAACTGTTGTTTTTTTACGTCTCAAGTCTGTTGTAGCTGATCGCCTCTAAGCCTCTGGGTTCAAAAAAATCTCAGATTTGTCTTGCACGCTAATATTCCAGAGCTTAGCTATGCTATACTACTCAAATTCAGCGTTGTCTGTTGCCTCGCTTTTACGGAGGTCATGGAACACATAACGTGTCTTTGGGTGTACTGCGTTCTGAAAAAACTGTTGCAATGCTCACCATCCATCCTGATCTAAGGCTAAAGTTGTCACGTTTGTCTTCCACACATCCAAAACTTCTACGCCTAGGCCAACATGCCTAATAAGAAAGGACAAATGGGGTCTCCAAAATCCTAGCTCATGCTAGTATGCTACAACTACACGGTCTCAAATTCTAACCTAATTTGCAAACTGCTTAAGGCTTCAGTTAATCCCCAAGTGAAATTATTGTGGTGTGGATTGGAGGATATTTATTCCGCACCTATTGTGACGTGGAATTATTCTCCCTCAATCTCCTTCAATCCTATTCAATCCCCACTAAACCGAAGTAAGGCCTAAGTTGAGAACTCTTCAAATATCCCGAATCTGTAGCCCCCAAACCAAGTTAAACCTGCTTCCAACCACTCCTCAGGTTGCGCACACCATCTCCAGTTTTAGAGCTCATCATCATCTACAAAACGTGTCCATTTATATCAGGTAACAATGTAATGCACTTCATCAAAGAGCAAATAGCTCACATAGAACACAGGAGATGCAAATGCAATGATTCAAGAGCTCACCACCGGGTTGACCATTGATTTTTTTTCTTCTTCAGGCTCTGTAAATGAGAGTATATGTGATTCTGTCAGGTAAACAACTCAAGACACAAGAGGGTGCATGAGAGGGAAATATGGAGGGACTAGGGAGAAGAGAACTTCTTGGACCAGATCAGTCTTGTTCAATACAATCTGGTATGGAGTCTTCCATCTGCGGTAGTGTGTTTAGGCGCCTAAGACCTAGTAGCTGCAAAAAAGACAATATTATGTCACCAGAAATGCGGATTACATGGAGAAAGAAGAGTGAGGAGGTAATAGTGTTGTACATTGTCTTCCACATATGAAATGGTTGAGGAACTTGGCTGTATAGCACGAAATTTCTTCAGGTGAACTCTTTTCTGGAACCTTCTCTGTACTGCAAACTAAAAACAGAAGAAAGGAAGTTACAATACAGGAGTAGAAGATTGATGATGAGATGTATTCCTCATGAGACCAAAACTAAAATAAATAAATGCAGGTTAATTGACTCAGAAGTTCATAAAAAGCTCGTACCTTGTGAAGGGAATAAAAAGAAAGACAGAGATAGGAAGTTTGTGGTGCTATCCGCTGAAAGAAGAGAGTGCTCCCTTCAACAATCATAGAGCATGTGCCAAGGTACTTAAAAGAGATGACATGAAGTGGCACTTCCCACCTTTAGCAGATGAAATCAAATCACCTACACGACAGCACAAGAGACGATAACAAGTCATAACAAGCAGCACAGTGCTTCTTCACTTCTCCATCCCAGCGGCTGTTGGAGGCTGCTGCCTCCAACAGCCAGCTGCAATTGCTCGTTTTCAGTTTCAGTCTTGCAGCATTCAGCAGTCATCATGGCTAGAAAACAGAAGTCACACTGAACTAAGACTCATAACGTGTTAGAATACAGTTGCAAATCATTTATAATATGTCCACAACTTTGAGGAGAACCTGACAGTGCAATGTGGGATAGGTTTGATGTTTTCTATATCTCCTTGATTCTGAATGTAAAAGTTCCCATCATTTCCTAGTGTCGGTACTCTTAACTGAAAAAAGAAAAAACCTAACATAGGGAAAAGTGAATTCTGGCCTCCATGAATAGTCAACATGAGCAAACTGGCATGCTTTGATTTGATCTCACAAAGGGAGAGCAGTACAATTCTTCACCAAAATTTTGGTACGAAACAAACTCCTAAGCATGTAGAGACTATGGAAAGGTCAATGTCTTTTTGCTCTAGAAATTACATCACCAACACGATCCAAGTTCATCGCTTGTCTCTGCATGCTAGAAACCTGTGCCTTCAGTATTCTGATCTCCATCTCCATCCTAGTTTTCTCTGCAACGCGAGCATTTTGCACGTCTTCTAAAATTTGAAGTGCGTATTGTTCTTGTCGCCATCGAGAAGTCTCTTCTGGTGGACCTGTCACCACTAGCTCTGGTCCACGATCTCTTCCAGAGGCCCTTGTACTGTCATACAACGGCACTTTGATTTCCCTGGTGACTGAAACTGGTTCAGGAACGGCATGTCGAGAATAGTACCCTGCACTGTTTATGTGTAATTTGTTTGATGTTTCAGAGCGAGTCCTTCCCTGTGATTCTTTGATGTCTCTCAGATAGATGGATCTGCCACTATGTGTTCTCCTAGACTCTTCCATACCTGGCTTGCCAAATTTGCTGGGCTGCCAAGATGTGTTTACTGGATCAGAAGCATACCTACCATAGGTTTGTACAGATTCTTCAGCCCATCCTTTGTTATTCTCGTCCCGGTCATCCATACCTGAAGGAGCAACGATACATTCCTCTGTGGAGGTCTCTTGTTCAGATACTTCATCATTCTCTCTACCTATGGATATTTCTATCTTATTCTCCATATTTTCTTCTTTCTCTTCTTCCCGGTCTTCATGCTCTGGTGGAATAGTCCTTTCGGACTCCTTTGGTGCAGTTTGGTTTGATTCAGACACTTCAGCATCTGATTTGTTCTGGTCCTCCCAGGGTACATCGTTCTGCTCATTCTTCGAAGAAAATGTATCTCCTGATGTGCTAACAACTTGCACTGTAGGAAGAGTCTCATGAGTAGTTTTCAGGGTCCCATGAGGTTCCACCCCACATTCAAACGAATCTGTGTTGACCAAATTTTGGTTTCTGTTCTCATTTTCTGTTCCCTGGTCCTGCTTCTCCTGAACTTCTAGCTCCTGTGAACAAGATTCATGAGATTTCGTTATAGTAAAAAAATATATATATCTTCAAAACTACACCAACCTTCTCCGTGTTAAAAGCACACAGGATCTGAGTTCCTTCTGTTGATTCAGCCCCATTAACTACCGCATTAGTTGAATCACGAATATCAAGTGTACTTGCGTCTTCCAAAATCCTCTTCTCATCCACATTTTCAGCTCCATTGTTCAAATTGGTCTCCCCAGCCTGGAACTGTAAAACAACTTTGTCAGATTAAATAATAGTCGATCATATGGATATCCTGAAACTTCACTTGCCTCCTCTGTGCTGCGAATTTCCTGGTTTTGCATTTCTTTAATAGAATTTTCCTCATTAACATCCAAAGCAACACCAATGTTATCCACCCCACCATCACAACCACCAAATGTGTTGGCCTCTTCCAAGGGTCTTTCGTTTCCATATTTAATTTCACAATCTAACCTTCTGTCCATAATCAGTTCCTGCAAAAGAACATGATCAGACCCCATTAATCGAAGCAAAAGTCGCTTCTACAGGTAAACTTACTTCCTTGATGTCCAAATGTTCGTCGTTCTGCGTTCCTGTGGTGAACTCAACCTCATTAACATCTGTGCTATGTGGATCAGTTTGAATTTCACCACAGCTAAATGTACTGGCATCTTCTTCCGGTATTTTCATTTTGTTGTTTTCAATTGTTGTTCCTGGATTCTGTTCTTCCTCCATTTCTTGCTGCAAAAGACCAAATATCAGTATTCGGAAAAGTTATTAAAGGTGGGGATTCTGCAAGTCCATTCACCTTGTCCAACTCCATAGTTTCTTGGTTCTGAATTCCTTCTGTAGCTTGAGTTTCAATCTCCATAATATCAATATCCGATTTCACCCCGCTGTCCAGCTTACAGCCTTCTTGAAACATTTGTGTCCCCTTGTTCTCACATATGCTTCCACAGTCATGCGTATGTTTCCTAGTCGCTTCCTGCAAAAGAGCTGGTAATATTAATATTTAATACCATGAAACCTTAACAGACAAAGACATTTGCAACCCCACCCACCTCATTCGTGTCCAAAGTTATGTGGTCATCTGCTCCTTCAAAAACCGTAGCAGCTGCATCAGACAATGAATCCCTCTCATCAATGGACTCAATATCCTGATTGCTTTGCTTCTCCGCCATATCTTTATCAGAAGCTTCCTTCTGCTCTCCTTCTGATTGTATACTAGCTGTACTATAAGGCATCGCACCATTGACTGAAACCTTTGAAGTTTCCATCACACCGTTATCAAATTCATTTTCTTGTTCTTGAGTGATTTCTGCATGCTTTTCCTCAACACCTGTCCTTGTGAGTCTCTCGCTTTGTCCATCCACCTGCTCCACTTCATGTATGCAGCTCTCTGTCAGTGCCTTGTCTTGTCTTTCTATCTGTTCTACTCCAAGAGCATTCTTGGCATTCTCCTCAGTGTCTTTCTCCCTTAAAACCTTGCCTTCATCGGGCTTCTCACCATCACACTGGCCATGCATATTTGGTTCTGCCAAGACTGGCTCTACTTCAGCAACTTCGTTGTGCTCATCTACAACTTCATGTGTTGAAGTAGTAAATTGATCCTGCTGTGAGCCCTCTGCTCCTACAACTTCCTTGGGCATGTCTTCAGAGTCTTTCTTTGCTAGGAACAGACCTTTATCCGTATCTGCATTCTCTGCTTCAGGAACACCTGAAAATACACTAGTCATATTGCTGTCCGAGATGGCATTCTCCAGTGGTTGAGGAATTTTATCATGCTCATCCTCATTGTCATTTTTCATGGGATTAATATCTTCTCCACATTCTACCATGTTAACCTGGTGAGCTTCGTGGGGCTTCTGCTTGCTAGCTTTCTCAACCATCTGGCTGTTTTCTCCTCCAATCTCTTCGATGCAACAGGCCTTCCTCTGTTCCTCAGTGACAAAATCACGACGAGTGGTTTCTCCATCATTTGGCTGCTGAACTGGAAGCACCTCATCAGGTAAAGTCACTGCATCATGAGAAATATTAATAACACCTGTATCAACTTCCTGTTTGCTCCCAGGCGCAACTTCAATAGAACAGATTGATCCCAATGCAGCTGTTCCTACATCTTCTGAAGTTCCATTTCCTTCATCCGCTTCATCAATGGCAACCTTTTCTTCTTTATCTCCTCCAACCGTTGCAGAAACTTCTTCAGGACTGTTTGACACACGACATGATTCATCAACTGAAAGGTTGGCTTCGTTCTCCAACTCCAGCATAATGGTGGTACCTTCTTCTGGCCTATCTGTGGCATCAAGAGACATGTCTACAGAGACATTAAGCATTTTCTCCTCCGGCATTGCGGTAGCACCTCCTTCAGGTTCACTGGAGACATCTAGAGGTTTATCAACTGTTACAACTTCCTTAATGCTTTCATCATTACAAACAACATCACTCAAATGATATCTGGATTCTTCTTTCTCCATAGCCTCTGAAGGTACAGCCTCTTCATGCCAATTAGGGACATCGGGTGTTCTCCCCCTATCCAGTTCATTAACATTTGCCAAAACAATGCCACTTGATTCACCCTTAGTGATTTCTGTTGATGGGGCTGCTTTTGTCTCCTGACAATATGGTTGGTGCGTTGGATGCTCTACATTACATGTCTGCTGGGCTTTCGGCATCTCATCCTTCTCCTCCATTCCAACTGGTGGTGTGGCTTCGAGGCTCCCTCTATCTCCTGTAGCCAGATTCATGTTATCCTTGATCAAATTTACATCAGGAGCTGCTGTCTGCTTCCTGGGCACAAGTAGCACAATATCATCATTGATAGTTTCAACATGAGACAACAAGGCCTTTTCTGATTCCATGTCAGATAATGGCAAGGACCCCCTATCGCAGCTGCCAGCACCCTCATCCCTTGCAGCTGCAAGGCAATCTGACAGCTTCGCATCATACAACTCTTGCAGCTTGCGCTTTTTATCATTGTTACTAGGTAAGACTCGAGCCTTCTTCAGCTTCCGCTCCTTCTCCTCCTCGGCCTCAATGGCTACTAGTGTCTTCTTCACCTTACGCTTGGAAACCTTCGATTCTACCACTGTGCTCGCTGCACCAACATCAAGATGAGAATGTGGCAAGGGCTGCCTCCACCACTCTGCATATCGCGCAGTGACCCCTGGCTCGGACTGGGGGATGAAGAAAGCTACATTCTTCCCCTCCAAATGGTAGGTCTCCCACGCAACCCTGCAATCGTCGTTGGCTCGTTGAACATCCCCGGGCACATCTTGATCCAGTCCAAACTGCATCGCGACACGGTGCGGGAGATACTGCTCAATGCAATCCATCCCCACAAGCTCGCAAGCACGCAAGCAATGCGCGAGCGATGTGAGCTCGTCGTTCCCGGAGACATGGCAGCCACGAACCCAGCCGCACGGCTGCACAGAGATTGTATACGGCTGCCACACAAAGCTGCTCCCGGAGTTGAGCGCCTTGCGGAGCACCGCCGGGTCGATCTTATTGCTGACATCATTCCAGCGAGCGGCCCTAGGCTCGCCGGCCTTGATGGGGTTCGCCTTTGCGGGCCTGATCGCCGGGAATCGCTCCCACGCCCAGAGCTGGAGAAGGTAGAATGGCGCGTAGACTGACAATGGCGAGAGCAATTCGCCGGTGGCGGCGGCGCTGGAGGATGACAGGAAGGCCTTCAGCTCGCGCAGGTCCCGGTAAATGGAGGCGAGCACGGCGGGCGCGAGCGCGACGCGGTCGCCGCGCGCCATGCGGACGGCGAGCGGGAAGAGCGACTGGCGCATGGTGGACTCCGGGTGCCCCGGGAGGACGAAGCGCGTGAGCCAGAGCGAGAGGAAGGCGGCGTGCTCGACGACGGGGTCGGCGGCCGGGCCGGTGAGGAAGTGGCTGATCCAGGCGGAGTGGTGCGCCTTCTTGCAGGCGCTGCGGTTGAAGCCGAGGCGGACGGCGTTGAGCGCGGCCTCGTCGGCGCGCCAGTGGCTCGGCAGCGGCGCCAGGACCGGGCCGCCGTTCGCGGGGAGGCCGCCGAGGAGGGCGACGTCGAGGAGCGAGACGGTGGCCTCGCCCCACGGGAAGGCGAAGGAGCTGGTCGCCGGCGACCAGAAGGAGGCGAGGTGGAGGACGAGTGCGGCGTCCCGCTTGAACCTGTAGGTGGAGGCGACGATGGCGTCGAGGATCCCGAGGTGGCGCCAGAGGCGGTCGTGGAGGGGGCGGAGCTTGGCGACCCAGAGGTCCCAGTGGCGGGGGCCGCCGAGCCATCCGCGGAAGGAGACGCGGGCCTCGGCGTTGGAGGCGGCGGCGCAGAGAGGAGGCGGGCGGAAGGGGGGAGGCGGGGGCGGGGCGCCGGCGAGCGGGGGGAGGAGGTGGGCGGGGCGGCGCGCGCCGTGGCCTTTGGCCATGTCCATGGGGAGGTAGAGGACGAGGCGGAGCTCGTCGGCGTCGGCGTCGGAGGCCATTGCTCCGGCGATGTCGAGTCGAGGGAGTGAAGGGGAATGGATCGATCCGTCCGATCTTCGTTACTTTTTGGGGTTGGGTTTTAGACGTCACGGTTTACATTTTGTCTAATGGACTGGCTCCGTTCTATACGGAGATTTCGCTGAGGAAAATGGGTTAGTGCAGGATTAATTGTGTATCAATTATTATTATATAGGCCGTGTTTAGTTCTAAAATATTTCTTCGAACTTCCAACTTTTTCCATCACATCAAAACTTTCCTACACACGTAAACTTTCAACTTTTCCGTCACATCGTTCTAATTTCAACCAAACTTTCAATTTTGATGTAAACTAAACACACCCATAATTAAAATTTAAACTTATCTAGTTTTATATACTCCATCCCTCTCATTTTAAGTGCAGTCATGATTTTACGTGCACAACTTTGATTGTTTGTCTTATTTGAAAAAAAAAATTAAAAACATAAGTCACGTAAAAAGTATTATTCATGTTTTATCATCTCTTAACAATAAAAATATTAACTATAAAAAATTTAAATAAGACGGACGATTAAAGTTGAGCACGGAATTTATGGTTGCACTTAAATTGGGACGGAGGGAATAGAAAACTTTGGTACATAAATTATTTTTGCAGGTAAAATGACGGCCGATCGTTTGGCCAAATACGTATATGGCATATTAGCATAATAATAATAATTTGTAGGCAAAACTTATATATATATATATATATATATATATATATATATATATATATATTCTTAGCGATTTAAACGTCGATAATAAAAAATAAACTTCGATGAAAAACTTCAAAATTAAGTTGTAAAATTCAAATTTTGGCATTTGCTGATGCTGAATAGAGAAAACGATGGGGCCTGAGAAGATGGAGCATGATTAATTACGTATTATTACTATATAATTGAAAAGTATACTCATTTCTTTTATAGAAAACTTTGTATGCTTGTGCAGGTGCATATCCAACTATCCAGTGCATTTTTTTTTCCGCAACCAACTATCCGGTGCCTAAATGTCTGCTTGTGCAGGTGTGCCAGAGAATTGCAAATTGTGATGGCCTCATCGGTTGGCTATACGTGGAAAATACACCATTTGGCGTATTAGCGAAAAAAATTATAATTTGTAATTAAAACTTTTATACTTATGTTTGTAGCGACTTAAATAACAATATTGTAAAAAAAACTATGATAAAAAAACTCAAAAAACAACTTTGAAATTAAGTTAAAAATTTTAAAAATTGACATTGGCATATGTTGATTGGGCCAAAAGATGAGAGCCTCACCATTCAACGTTAACAATCCAAGACAGTGTATGCGCCTAAAGACCTAAGCCTGCCCTTAATTTTCACCATCTCCACTGGACTCGCACGTATCGGTGAGGATGCGACCAGGGTAGGGCATGGCCGGTACATGCTGCGACCGCAGGAGACAAATCCAAGATACTCCCTCTGCCATATAATATAATATAAGGTATTTTAACTTTTTTCTTATACTGTTTAATCACTTGTCTTATTCAAAAAATTTGTATAAATATAAAAAATAAAAAAATATGCTTAAAGTACTTTGGATAATAAAGTAAGTCACAAATAAAATAAACAATAATTTTTTAAAAAAAATTAATAAGATGAATAGTTAAATAGTGTATATAAAAAGTCAAAATCGCTTATATTATGGGACGAAAGGAGTACCTAGCTAGGACAAGGGAGAGGAGAGAGAGGAAGCGAGAGAGAAAGCGAAGATGGCCACCGGAGGGAAGAGCGCTGCGTCGCCGTCGCCACCGAGTCGCGCCGCCGCTGCTGCGCTGCGCCGTTGCCTCCTCGGGATTTCCCTTTCGTCCTTTTACTGGGCCGATGGCCCGATGAGAGGGGGAAACGCCTGGATGGGCCGGATTAGCACCCAGACTGGGCTTCTCCTGCGAGCCGGGATTCAATCTCCTCCGGGTCCACGGGGCTCAAAGCCCAGTCCCGGCCTAACTGAACAAGGCCGTGGAAGGAAAACAAAATTTGGCAATGACAACTCTTTGTATTTCTGTGTATTGCGTTCTAAATTCAAATGTACTTCCAGGTTGCAGTGAGCCAGTGATCATGTTTGTCATATTACATCCATCCAAAACATCGATACGTAGGCCTAACATGCCATAAATTATGTAGAATCAGGATGTTTTTCTGTCTGCGCGACACAAACGTCTTAGATGGAAGACGCCTCCAAAATCCCAGAAAACTTTTGCTCATGCTACGATATGGCCTCAAGTTCTAAGCTAGCTTGAAAATTGCTTAAGAGCTAAAACTCTCCAAACTCCCCAAACTAATTTGAACCTTCTTGTTATGGTTTGATGAAGCGAGCAATCTTCCCAAGCACCCCTCTCAGGTTGCGCACACCAGCTCCCGTTTTAGAGCTCACCATCATCTGCAAAACGTGTCATTTTTATATCATGTATGATATTGCACATGAGATTCTTTTCAAATAAAGATATAGCACATGAGATATGAAGGAAATGATTCAAGAGCTCACCACCGGTCTGACCACTGACTTGTTCTTTTTCAGGCTCTGTAAAAGAGAGTGCAAGTGATTCTGTTAGGTAAAAACTCAAGAGGGTGCATGAGAAGGAGAGTAAGAGGGAAGGGGGGAACAGGGGGGAAGAGAACCTCTTGGATCTCCACAGCACGGCGAGCAACGTCAATAGGGAAAACCAAATCAGTCTTGGTCAATACAATCTGATATGGCGTCTTGGACCTACAGTGGTTTGATTAGAAACGTTACAGCAGAAACTGAAGTAAACATTACTCAATATATGTGATCAGAGGCCTATGAAATGCTCTGAGAAAATAAAGAATCATCAATGAATTTTCAATGAACTGACAGATGTATTTGCATCAATATCACAAAATGTTAACTAAAAATTTGAAAGAACCGTGAAACTTGAAACTAGGTGGTTTATTTGAAAGCAAACCTTTCCATTAGGTCTACAAGCTCGTAGTCCAATGGTTTCATTCCACGTTTAGTGTGCACAAGAAGGCACACTCTTTCTAGGCCGACCCTGGTTGAAACATACTCCTTCACCTACAAACCACCTTTAAAAGCTTAGTGTTCTAAACAACTCAAAGTATGATGGGAAATTGTGTTCCCATACAGATCCAGTGGGCATATGCAAATAGTACTAGACAGTTACCAGGATATTGTTTGTTTAATGTGCAAAAGTAAAAAAACAATCTGTTCAGTCATAAATGATGGCAATTAGATCCTTGATTTTAAAATTGTCCCCCAGCTGAATAACTAAAGTGGACTTGGATACCAAAGGAATGTACTAGAGGAAGAAAGAGATCAGAAAGTAACTCTCAGAAGGGTTGTGAAGTCTTGAGCTAAGGAAATTTCATCAGTTCTTAGCAAGTAAAATGTACAGAAGTTATTGAGCATATGATATACCAGTATACAATGGACGTGGGTTAGATATCCAATTTCATCAAATTGCACGATGTGAGGTAATATGATTCATTACAAGATTTTTTTTCATGATTTAGGGTACTTACAAGTTCTTGCCATGAGTCTTTAACTTCATCCTTTGCATAAGCAAAACCATATCCAGGCAGATCGACAAGGCATAGCTTTGATGCAAGCCGGAAGAAATTTATTGTCTGAATAAGGAATAATAAGCATAAACAGATAGACTCGTGGATTGTTTGGATGCCCAAACTAATTACAATAAAACACACAAGCTTCATTCGACAAACCTGAGTAAGTCCTGGCTTATCCGATGTTCGCACAACACCCCATTGCCTTGTAAGTGCATTCAGTAGTGATGATTTCCCAACATTTGATACCCCTAAAATTTCAAAGTTAAGTTATTAGAAGGCAGGAAATAACTTTGTGGAAACACTACGATAGTTGAGAAAAAGATCATGCAGCTTTAAACACTCATCAACCATAATCCCTTCCAGAGAAAAATAAATACCAGCAAAGTCACATACATCAAACCTAAACGGTGTGCACAGGAAGATAATGTGATTAAACTAAATATCAAATTCAAAGATTCACCGTGCCAAACTTCATTCTTCTGATGTTACCTGCAAATGCTATCTCTGGGAGCGTAGGAGGAGGAAATGATGACGAAATTTTTGCTGCAGCAAAGAACTCCAACTTATTTCTGAACACCTGTTAATAGTTTTCTGTGAGATAACAATAAATACAAGTGGATCCCAACAATCTATGCAAAGAGATACTACACAGCTAGAAAAGCAACTCAAATAATGTAGAAACCAGGCATGCCCAGCTAAAACAAAAGCAGAAGAATATTTTCTAGTACTGATCATATTGTATGTTTCTTACATTTTCTTCTATGCGCTCACGTTCAGGGCTGGTTGAGAAGGGAACATTATCCAAAGGGGCAGAGAGCTTAACATTGTAGCCAGCATTTTTTATCTCATTTAGGCGCCTACGACCTAGGAGCTGCAAAAAGACTGCATTATGTCACCAGAAATGCATCCACATGGAGAAATAAGAGTGAGGAGGTAATAAAATGTACATTGTCTTCCACATATGAAATGATTGAGGAACTTGGCTGTATAGCACGGAATTTAGCATTTATAGACGTCTCAGTCTCTTCAGGCGGACTTTTTTCAGGAATCTTCTCTGGACTACAAACTAAAAACAAAAGAAAGGAAGTTACACCAAAAGGGCAGCAAATTGATTATCAAAATTTCCCTCATAAGGCCAAGACTAAAATAAATAAGACGAATTGGATGTGGGTGAGTTGATTCAGAAGTTCATGAACAGATTTTATATTGTTAAGAAAAAAAAAACAGACATAAGAATTTTGTGGTGCTATCTGCTGAAAGAGGAAGTTGTTGCCTTCAACAATCTTTATAATTCACAAAACATGCGCAGATAGTTCCAAGTTCTAATAGGGATAAATTATCTAGCTAAAAAACATACCTTGCAAGAGGTTAAAAGCATATGTATTCCTATACATATTTTCTTCCAAATTCCTGGTTCTTTCTTTTAAAAAAGAAAAGGGCCTTTCTTTTTATCATCATTTTCAATTTAAAGGGGTGAATATCTAGCAATATAGATAGGACACACTACATTTACTTGATTCCTTACTTTTATGTACATAATTCTGTATTACAGAACATTCCAGACTCCTAAGTAAGAAAAGTAAGATAGCATTCGCACCATCCTGTTTGGCAGTAGAATCCTCAAGTCTTTTGTTTGATGTGTCATAGGGATCCAGTTTCATCCGCTTCCTCTTCTTGGGAGGAAGGGTTTCCTCAATGTCAGAAACTGGATCCTTGTTTGCAACCCTAATTTTTTTCCCAGTCTTGTCCAGAACTCGAGTACGACGAGGGCGGGGCTTCTCATCAGCAATCTGGCCAGAATCATCCGACTTCTTGCTTTCGGCGCCATGATCATCCAAGTTGGCATCTGTAGCAGCCTCTTTTTGGCGACTGACTCTGGTAGGTGTATCAAACTTCTTCCCTTTGGATGATGCTTCTGCATTCCTACTGAACACTGATTGACTCTTTCCCTCTCTAGTTATACCAGAAACCATGCTGTTACTCCTTCCCCCTCTACTTACACTGGAAACCATACTGTTACCCCTTTTCCTTGAATGCAAATCATCCTCATCCAAAGTTTCAGACCTAAATCTATCACCTTTTCTAGCAGAAGCCTTTCCACGGGTCATGGTGGAAGGGCCATTTCTGGTCAGCTTTGATTTAGAATACGGCGTGTCACTGTGATCACCATTCCATGAGTCATGATCACCCTTCCTTTTCCTCCTCACAGCCTGTGATGCGTTCTTCTTCGCATCTGATTGACCATTTGTGTCGCTCCACCTCCTCCTCTGTCCGGCATTTCCCCGTGCCTCCTTGTGCTCTTCTCTCTTCTCACTCTTGTTCCTACCAGTTGTCCTGGTTCCTTTCGTTTTAGCACCTTCTCTTTTGCCACTCTTCTTTCCACCATCAACCCCACCACCACTCCAGTTCCTCCGGGAACTCAACAAACTCGCTATGCTCGTCTTCTCCCTTATGCGAACATGAAGCGGCATTTCCCAATCCCACCTTCAGCAGATGAAATCAAATCACCTACACAACATCACAAGAGACGATAACAAGTTAAGGACTCCTACAACAAGCAGAGCAGGTGCTTATGCATACAATGAACTGCAGAATGATGTGCAGGTAAGCAAGAACGACAAAATGAACTCAGGAAGTCCACCCCAGATGCAAACGCAAGCGATGCGCGCACGGCGGCGCACGCATTGCAAGAGCAACAGAAACGCCCAACACGAGCACACGCAAATGACGCAATGCGTTTGCTCAATCACGATACAGGGCAGGCTACTACTACCAACCCCTCCACGGAAGCGGGGGCGTGCTCGCCACAGCGGAGAAGAGACAAAAACGAAGAAACGCGTGGTAGCTGTTCGACGAAATGCCTCGCTGCGGACACAGGGAACCGCTGGCGATGGCACGGCCGGCGAGTTGAAGGGTGAGGAAAAAGGGGATCACGTCCCTCGCTTACCTGTCCGGCACGGCGGACGGCCGGTGGAGTCGGCGGCGCGCGGCGGCGGCGAGGAAGGAGCCCGAGCGCCGGCGGCGGCAGAGGCTGCGGTGTGCGGGTTGGAGAATGGCCGAACTCAACGAGACGACATGAACAGAATGCTTTGTGGGCCACTCTATTGGGCCGATCTAATGGCCATGGGCTTTCTGGTGCCATGATGGGCTGGGCCGTCAGATTTCTCTTTCCACTCTTAGTCTCTTTATTTTGAGCTGTTCAGATTAATGCCATTTTAAACCGTACTTTTTTTTAAAGTAAAGTTACTAAAAATGTACATATATTTAGTTTCTTACCAAACTTTAGTAAGTAGGCATACCAAAATTTGGTAAGGTTTATTTTAGTTACAATCTGAACAGCCCCGTGATGTACAAATAAATGGTAGTAATGTAATAGTATACTGTTTTTTTTCCCACATGTTAAAAAAATACAACTCCCACCCAAAAATATATTAAATAATAAATTTTGAACCAAAGAAAAATTGTAGCCAACAATTCAATAAGAAAATCTATGGAGAAAGCGAAGGCTACTTGTGGGCAAAGGGAGATCTAACTGAACTATTGCTCTGGTCCTTCATTGATATGCAGTGACCTGTGAACCCCAACAATTCAGCTAGCATCAACCGAGAGGTCTCCTTCTTAATCAGCAGCAAAGTGATACTTATCCAATAGTTTACTACAGTATATATATGTATACATCACACCGTCAATCAATCACAGCCGTTAAGAAATGCACATCAACTACTTGATCAACCTAGCAGGTAGCAGCAGGAGGCATGGCCCAGGATTTCTGAATTTTGTGCTGCTGGATTAGTTGGCAGGTTGTCTAGTTGCCTATGTACATATGATCACACATGTTCCTATAAAGTCAGTACATTTGTTGCTGTTTATGTAACATAATTCACCTTTTTCAGGAACTGGAGCTTTTTGGAGTGGTTGGCTAATGAACTTTTGATCATAGATGCAGGCTTGGATCTGCTTGCTGTATCTGTCCTAAGTAGACCATAATCTTGTTGTCCTTGCTGCAATTCAGGCTTGGAAATTGCAAAGCTTCTCCCTGTCAGAAGGTGCAGTTAAACCTAACCACCAGCAGCAGCATGGACTAGCTTGATTACAGGAGCAAATTAAAATGCATCTTCTGTGTCCTTAAGTAGACAGTAGAACGATCTCAGTCTCGGCTAGGTGAGACGTTTTTGTCGTGGGTCAGTGACCATTGCGGATGGATACAAGCGCAGGCGGACAATTCAATTAATGACCTCCTTGTCTGTCTGAACGTGATCAGACTAGACGATCAGTGGCACCGTAAGAACAGCATATTCAGTAATTTAACATTGTAAAAAAAGGTGTCACGGTAATCAGGATAAGGCGCTGTGATAAGCTTAGCACTTTAGCAGTGATAACTTGTGTTGGGTCTTAGTGCTGACGATGCCGCAAGTTCTTTTTCACCCTCTGTGTTTATTATACCCGTTTTCCTTTAGCTAACTGTGCTGTATATGATTTTTAGTCCGATTTTCCTCGTAAGCAAACTTAACTTTTATTCTTTTAATATAAAACAGAAACTTCATTCCTCCTTCTCGAAGTTTACCTTGAAAAAAAATAGTTTGATTAGCAGTCAGAAAGTTTTCTGCTTTTAACTGATTAACCTCTTGATGCAGCCTGTTTCTTTCAAGCTACACAGTGTTTAAGCATCATTAGGGGCAACTAATCTTTCTGCTCGGTATTCAGAAGCAGTAAGCTTCACTAATGCATAGCCACCATATGGCAGGAAATAGAATCACGAGATCATCATCTGTAGTTCTTTTGTTGTGCTTTTCATTTAGGTGAGATGACACTGTCAGAAAGAGATCGTCAGGAAACAACCCAACCACAGAGTCGACGCCTGCCTCGATCGAAGGACGGCTAACCGCGTTGCTCACTTGCTCTGCAGCTCACAGGTCATGGCAAACTAATTAAATTTCTCAACACCTAATTTTCCCAACGAATGCGATGGATTAGAAAAATTAAACCCTCCAATCGAATGCTGAAAAATGGATTAACGAAGCCATCATCCGTACCACGCGAAAGGCAAAAAAATTCAAATCAGTGGGCCAAGAACAACACTAATAGGTCATGTCCATTTCCATCCCATTTCCATTGAAGCCAACATAATTATCAATGCTCTCCATCATCAACTAACTCCTAATTATTCATTGATGCAGGCTTGTAATCGATGATTAAAAGCGAAAGCTTACAACTCACTCTCTCATGCTCCCTCATGTTCCTGCCACAATCTATATAAAAATCTTTTGCATGGCAACTTGACAATGCCATGGACAGCGGCTTAAACTCTGAATCCAGCCAAGCGACAAGTCAAATCCTGACTGGTTATAAAAACCTCATGTTCTGTAGAACAGAACCAAGGTTTGCTCACTTTGTCGCAGCATTTCAAGCTCTCCTAACCTCAGATAAATGATAGCCATTAGAACCCTAGAAGGATCATTATCATTATCCTGAAATAATTCCGGTGAAATTCCTGTGTTCCCAAATAGCAGAGCAAGATTTAATTTCTTGTTAATTATTTTTTAGAAGGAAAGGAGCATTGCGAGTTTTTGGCGCCAAGAAGCAAGAAAGGTCATGGACAGCAGCAAGCAGCAGCTCGCCGTTTGGCCGGTGTCCGCCGCCAAGAAGTACGCCGGCTTCGACGGCAAGGCGGCGGCGAGGGAGCGGTCGGGCCTCGCGAACGCGTCGTTCCGGGTGTACTACAGCCTCCGCGCCGGCGCCGTGCCGTTCCTGTGGGAGTCGTCGCCGGGAACGCCCAAGGCGGCCGCCGTCTCGTCGCCGGCGAGGGAGTCATCATCGGCGGCGCGTGGCGCTCTGCCGCCCATCTCGCCGCCGCCGTCGTACCAGTCGGTCGAGATGAAGAAGGGGGGGAGGTGCCGGCCGAGGTCGTCGTGGCCGGCGGCGGCGGCGGCGGGCGACATCGTGAGGGCGCTGCTCGGCATGCTCGGGCTCGGGAAGTGGCGCCGCCGCCGCCACCACCACCACCGGTCGTCGTCGACGCGACGGCGCTCCGCCTCGGTCTCCGAGCTGCCGCCGTTCGCATCGCTCCCGTATTGACACGTGTACAATCAGATTAATTAATTAATTACAACTTTATTATGGACGGATGATTAATCACGGATGTTGCATGTAAATTACGGAGGCGGATGCCACTTTGCTCTGTGATTATCTCCTAATCTCTCGGGTTTTCGCGTCGTTAATTAGCAGAGTCTGAGTCGGTTTAGCGCACGGTTATAAAACGAGTGGGCACATCGATTTGAAACGAGTCGCGTCGCCGCTGCGTTTCCGAAGAGAAGGCGCCGCTCAAGGGAGAAAGCGTAAAGCCGTTTCCCGCTTTAGTTCTCGCATCCGCGCTAACCCTCGCGGCTTCGTCGATGGTCGGCGGCGGCGGCGGCGGCGGCCACGGGGTCAGGACGCCGGCGAACTTCCCCCCGCGGCAGAAGGCTCGCCTCCCTCGCGGACCGGTACGCGCCACCGTGCCCTAGTGTTTTTTTTTTTGAAACCTCCGGGATTTTCTTCTTTCCGATGGATTCCGATTGCAACTGGTCGCGCCGCCACCTTGTTTCCGCCTCTACTAGAGTACTAGACTTGGGTTGCCATGACGCCGGTGCCGTGCTTTAAATTTCCTGAAATCACATATGTAATGCTGTATTGCTATTGTTTGCGGCGATGGTTAGGGTTCGACATTGGATCAGTCGTCAGTTAATGTTTAATTATTCTTTTGGTTTGGTGTGTGTGAAGTAGGAAACCTATAATCGTCTCTTTGGCAACTGGGCAATGGGGAAGTAGTAGATCCATGTGATTGCAAATGATACTGCATTCCTTTCTCTGTTTCTCAGTACATGATTCCTAATCGGGTTTGGTGTAATGATCTCGATAGGTTGAGGAACTGAACCTTATAATGTATATACTTTTACATGACGAGCAGCAGTCCGAAAATGTTCTTCAGGATTCTTGTTACTCTACAGCAGCTTGCCTATGCATATTCTTATTATTGCAATACAATTTGTATTGCTTTCTTGTATGACCTGTGTAGAACTGCAGGCTTCACCATTATTTATTTTTGCTGCCTCGTTTCGATTAGTACATCTACTGTTAGAGATAAAAGGAGATGCACTTGATAGTGCAGTGGCAAGGGGTGTGTGGTTTTAACCCCGATGTCCCGTGTTCAATCCTCAACGTGCTCATAATTTCTTCTTTAAAATATTTGGAGTGACGTCTCTCCCTAATCTCCTTTTTTTTTCCTGTTAGAGATAAAAGCTTACACAAACTTGTTCCATGTTAGGTATATTTTAGCTTGTACCTTGTGAGGCCTTTTGTTTGTACTCTGCTTCTGACACACTCTGTGTTTTTCAGGTTCATGAGAAGTCGTTGGAACAGCAAAAGAAGGGGCCAAGTTCATCCTCTCCTTCAGTTAGCAGTAACAAGTCCCCACTCCAATTGGCTGCAGCAATTGTTCAACCACAGAAACCGCTAGAGTCACCACAGCACATGGTTACACCGGTTCGACTGCAAGAATCTCCAGGCCCAAGAACCATTCCATGCAGTTCTGGATCTGTAGGATCTGGTTCAGGAGCTGCCCCATTTGACATATGCATAAAAAGAGATGATAAGTGCTCCATCAAGTTAAGTCGTTCTTTACTGGAAATCAACAGAGAAAAAAGACGAGAAAGGGAGCAACTTTCCAAGGAGGCAGCTCCATTGCAATATTTGAGACCTGGGATGGTTCTGTTGAAAAAGTTCTTAAAGCATGATGATCAGGTATCTCAATATCAAACATGTTGCTCAATTTTACTACAGTTTCTGCCAGCATCAACATTTGTTTCAAAAGTACTATCAATAGTTGTTTTCCATTCATTTTGCTCTTTTTGTGTTGGAATCTGGAATCATGTGCACTCATGATTTTGAAGTTCTATGTCACTACTGTGACTCTCTCATTGGCACAGTTTGCTACAACTTTCGTAGAATTTTCAGAATTCCTCACATTAATATGCACTTTCTCAATTTATTTGATTATTGTGATTTTATTTAGGTTGTATTATAAATTCCCAATGTTTATTTAATTTTGAAAGTATATATCTAATCTCTTTTATCGCACATATCAGGTTGACATTATCAGACGCTGCCAGAAACTTGGTATTGGCTCAGGAGGATTTTATACTCCTGGCTACAGAGATGGTGGTAAATTAAGTTTGCAGATGATGTGCTTAGGGAAGAACTGGGATCCAAATTCACGTTCATATGGAGATACACGTCCATTTGATGGTGCTCAACCACCAAGTATACCAGAAGTATTCAGTAAGATAGTTAAAGATGCCATCCAAGCTTCCAATGAATTTTTGAGACAAAAAGCCAGACCTGCCAATGATGTTGAAGAACTTCCTCCACTGTCACCAGATATCTGCCTTGTTAACTTCTATACCAGCAGTGGTAAGTTAGGTCTTCACCAGGTACGAAAGATCCACAATCTTCAACGTTATACAATTATATTTCAAAGATTAGTATTACAAGTCTTCCTCAATAAATTACTCCAACAAAATCCTCACCTAGGTCAAAGCAGCTTTTCCTATGGTTATTTTCTTCAGAGTTTCTTGTACTTGCATTTGTATAGTATAATGCCTTCAATTCCTCTGCTTTTCAATTGAAATGTTTATATTGCTGTGATCCTCTTTGGTGATTACTAACTGGACTGTGTGAATGTATCATTTTTACAGGACAAAGATGAAACGAAACCCAGCCTTCATAAGGGATTGCCTGTTGTTTCATTTTCGCTAGGTGACACTGCAGAATTCTTGTATGGTGACGTGAACGATGTGGATAAAGCTTCAAAGGTTGATCTGGAATCTGGTGATGTTCTCATATTTGGTGGTAAATCAAGGCTCATATTCCATGGGGTTTCCAGAATCAAACCAAAAACAGCACCAAATTGGCTGACCGATGAAGCAAAACTTCGACCTGGGCGTCTGAACCTCACATTCAGGCAGCATTAGCTTGCCCCGTATTAGATGTAGAGGGAACCTTGTTCTGTTCTGTTGTAGTAGCTCAGTACCCACCCTATTAGCATGAGTTAGCTGGTAGTACATTCGATCTAACTACTGGAAAACTCGAGAAGGAGTCAGATCAAACTATGGAACATATATATATTTAGTGCAATTGATTTTCCTGTGATTATTATTTTTAGATATAATGGAAATCAATCCAGATTTGTGTTGTAGTTTGAAGAGGTGGCATTGCCAGATTTGTGTTCTAATGTAAATTCCTATCGTGACCACTCTTTCAAAATTAAAAGACAATATATACCAAGCCAATTTACCAAATCAAGTAAATTCTGTTCTTCAAACTTAATTTTCTGCTCTTTAAACTTCCAGGCCTCAATGGCCCAGCCCAGTAGCCCACAGGAGAAGGTGAAGCACTCGCCGTCTCGCTCCCATCTCTTCACTTCGAACCGCACGGCGGCGCTGCGCCGCCGCTGGAGCACCGCTACTGCATTGCATCCGGCCGCCGGAATCTCACCGGCGACTGCAGGAGACGGCCGTGGCGCGGCCCCAGTCCGTGCCCTCTCCCTTCGGTCGATGGTTGGACTGGTTGCATTGTCACTGGACACGGTCGCCACCAAGGACGAGTTCGTCCGCCTCTGCGCCACCGGCCGCCTCAGGGACGCGCTGCGGCGACCCTTCCGCGGCGTGCTCTGGTCGGACGCTGCCCGCCTCTTCTCCCACCTCTTCCGGGCTTGCCGCGCCCTCCGGCCACTGCGCCAGCTCCACGCCTTCGCCGCCACGTCCGGCGCCGCCACCGACCGCTTTACGGCGAACCACCTCATGCTGGCGTATGCTGACCTGGGCGACCTCACCGCCGCCCGCGAACTGTTCGAGAGAATTCCCAGGAGGAACGTCATGTCCTGGAACATTCTGTTCGGGGGTTACATCAAGAATGGCGACCTGGGTGGCGCGCGGAAGCTGTTCGATGAAATGCCTGAGAGGAATGTGGCGACTTGGAATGCCATGGTAGCTGGGCTCACCAACCTAGGATTTGATGAGGAGAGCTTGGGCTTCTTCCTTGATATGAGGAGGGAGGGGATGCATCCTGATGAGTTTGGCCTCGGGAGCGTGTTCCGGTGCTGTGCCGGGCTTAGAGATGTTGTGACTGGGCGGCAGGTCCATGCGTATGTCGTGCGGTCTGGGCTGGACAGAGACATGTGTGTTGGGAGCTCGTTGGCTCACATGTACATGAGATGTGGGTGTCTTCAAGAAGGTGAGGCTGTGCTCCGAATGCTCCCTTCACTTAGCATTGTATCATGCAATACCATAATCGCTGGAAGGACACAGAATGGAGACTCAGAGGGAGCGCTAGAGTATTTCTGCATGATGAGAAGTGTCGGTGTGGCTGCTGATGTGGTCACTTTCGTAAGTGCTATTAGTTCTTGCTCAGATTTGGCAGCTCTTGCTCAAGGGCAGCAAATTCATGGGCAGGTTATGAAAGCTGGAGTTGACAAAGTTGTGCCAGTAATGACTTGTCTTGTGCATATGTATTCTCGTTGCGGGTGCTTAGGTGACTCAGAGAGAGTTTTCTTTGGTTATTGTGGTTCAGATACCTTCCTTCTCAGTGCAATGATCTCAGCTTATGGATTCCACGGGCATGGACAGAAAGCAATCGAGCTGTTCAAACAGATGATGAATGGAGGGGCAGAACCTAGTGATGTTACTTTCTTGGCCTTGCTATATGCTTGCAGCCATAGTGGTCTGAAAGAGGAGGGCATGGATTGCTTTGAGCTTATGACTAAGACTTATGGAATGCAACCAAGTGTGAAACACTACACTTGTGTTGTGGATCTTCTTGGGCGATCAGGTTGTCTGGACGAAGCAGAGGCCCTCATCTTGTCAATGCCTTTAACTCCTGATGGGGTCATATGGAAGACATTGTTGTCTGCTTGTAAGACCCAGAAGAATTTTGACATGGCAGAGCGGATAGCAAAACGTGTCATTGAGTTGGACCCTCATGACTCTGCCTCTTATGTTCTGCTATCAAATATTCGAGCTACCAGCAGGAGATGGGGAGATGTCAGTGAGGTAAGAAAAGCCATGAGAGATAACAATGTGAGGAAGGAGCCTGGTGTCAGCTGGGTGGAGCTTAAGGGTCACATACACCAATTCTGCACTGGAGATGAATCGCATCCAAGACAAAAGGAGATCGATGAATGTTTGGAAGAGATGATGGCCAAGATTAGGCAGTGTGGGTATTCACCGGACATGAGCATGGTGCTCCATGATATGGAGGATGAGGAGAAAGAAGTTAGTTTGTCTCACCACAGTGAGAAGTTGGCAATAGCGTTTGCTTTTCTGAGCTTACCTGAAGGAGTTCCTATCCGAGTGATGAAGAATCTACGTGTATGTGATGACTGCCATCTAGCTATCAAGTTAATGTCCCAGGTAACTGGTCGGGAGATTGTGGTCAGAGATGTAAGCCGCTTTCACCATTTTAAAGATGGCAGATGCTCTTGTCGTGATTATTGGTGATTGGGAACAAAGCATGGTAGGAATTTCTTTTGCATCTTCTGAGGGGAACAACATCAACATACCTTACCTGGTTTTTGAACTATCTGAAGCAATCAGCTGCAGTTGATGCCCAGCAGTCATAACTAAGGCTCAACGGGTGCCACACTCTTTACTGCCAGCTGGCGGTGGTACAACTAACAACTCAGATCGGCTAGTATGCACACTTGAATGAACCCTAAGATGCGAATGCTCAATGGTGTTTGGTTTGTACTTGTCTAATGGCCCATGTACATACATGATGGCTTGGTTCCCATGTAATGCAATGCTATGGGAGAATTCATCTGTTTTCACCAGATATCTGCCTTATTAACTTCTAGACCAGCGATGGGAGATTGGGTCTTCACCAGGTACCAAAGAACCATGTTCCGATGTTATATTTCAAACAACAGTATCAATACTTTGCATTCTTGCTGATACCAATCTATTAAATGAACAGAGATACCACAAACTAATCTGGAAAGAGCGCAACTCGAGAATCTTTGAACACAAAGATTGCACTGCAGCGCAAGTTTACAGAGCCATTAGAGATGAAGTGCTGATTTGGAGGGAAGCTGGAGTGTTTAAGCATAGAGAGTAGTGTGTGGGAGTTTTCTCCTGGGTTCCTTGATCCCCAGGAGTTTTTTTTTCTTTTTTTGGGGGGCTTATGCCCTGCGACAGTACAATGTCATTCTGTACCTGGCTCATTTTTCTCTCTTCTTAATACAATTAGGTTGGTCGATTTTCGGCCGACCCAGCAAAGATACCACAAACTAATCCAACAAAATCCTGTTCTGGGAGCAGCTTTAGCCGTGGTGCTTTTCCTCTGGAGAACTTAGACATCTCTAGTATAATGTGTTCAGTTCATTTGCTTTCCAATTGAGATTTTTATAGGGTTGTAATCCTGTTCGGTGATTACTAACTGGGAGTCTGGGACTGTAAAACGTCCCAGTTGCCTATTCGGTGATTACTAATTGGGACTGTAATCCTGTTCGCTGTTTTTTTCAGGACAAGGATGATGAAAATAAACCCAAGCCTTAACAGGGATTGCCTGTTGTTGCAGAATTCTTGTACGATGGTGTGAGACAATGACAAGGCTTCAAAGTTGATCACGAATCTGTTGTTCTAATAATTGGTGGTAGAAACATTGTCATATTTCATAGCGTTTCCAGCATCAAGCCCATAAATGCACCGAAATGGCCGACCAATTAGACAAGTATTGAACCTGGCCGTCTGAATTTCACATTGAAATACTGCAACTGTCCCCTGCATATTTTTTTTGGCTACTTGCAGTACAGTTGGGTGCTCCCGTTTGTTGTATATTCAGTGCTACTACCCTTTTATTTTAGCAAAGTCATCAGAGACGTCCAAATTCGAAGAAATATTTTACCGACCTCTCTTCTCTTGTAAAACTTGAGTTCGTTGTCATACCCAATCTCTTTTCTTTCTTTCTTTCTTTTTTTCTGTTTGGCTTAATCGTGTATGCACTGACCGTGTCTTGAAATAAAGATAAAATATCTGGCCACAAGAAACCTCTCTTGACAATTTATTGAACGCAGTTGATTCATAGAAAAATGAGAGACATACATTTACTGATTTACATTTGATGAACCTGTACTGAAAAATAAAAGAAGAAAAAATGTCACAAGTTCAGAGTTCAAAGTCCCCAATTCCTACTACTAGTGTTGCAGTGATGCATCTCGTGCAGAATCACAACGAGCGACAGGATGAACGCCTGGTCTATCCCCGGGTTGATCCTAGCCGTATACACAGACCTCGTCAATCCCACCAATGTACCCGCCAAATTTGGACGAGTGATCTACAGCATCAAATTCAACAAACAAAAATGTTAATAAAATCGGATATGGATTTTCATCCCTCGAGGGGACATCCTCTCATTGTTTGCATGTTATCTAAATAGTTATAAAAAAATTAAAAAAATAAAAGCATAGATTAATACAGAATATATCAGTCCACAAGAAATGCAAGACCAAATTCAATTTCTACAAGTTGCAACAAAAATAACAAATTAAACTGAAAATAGTTATCGCACATTCACAACTATATTTGTTATTTTTGTTAACTTGTAGAAGTTGAATTCAAACTTGTATGTTTGTGGAGTGATATATTTCATATCAATCTATGTTGCTAATTTTTCATATTGTTTGATGAGGGATGAGGGATGAAATTGCTTTCCCAATAAAATCGATCACCAATGATCTGCTTGATGAATTTTGAGATGTTAATTAGCTCACCTGAGCAATGGCGGCGTCGGCGTCGGAGTCGGAGTTGCCGGCGAAGACAGTGCATGCGCCGCCGTAGTAGTTGCCGCCGATGACGAAGTCGGGGACCTGGTCGGCGGAGCGGTAGCCGCCGAGGTAGACGAAGATCTTGGTCCTGACCTGGACGACGGACTCCTTGACGACGCTGAAGAGGACGCTCCGGCGGCTGGTGCTGTCCCCTCTGAAGGCGTGCCACATCGAGCTCATCAGGTAGGTCGAGTCCGTCATGGTGAGCACCGGGCGGCGCGCCGCGTCGAGGAGGAGCGTCCGCTTCCGGAGGCTGAACACGGCGCCCTCCAAGCGCATCACCACCGCGCCGGCGGCGTCCGTCACCGCGAAGTCGCGCTCCGTCGTGCCGATCACCCTCGCCACCGCGAACGCCGTCGCCTCCGCCGCGCAGTGCCGCGCGTCCACCACCACCACCGTCGGCGCTGCCGCCGCAGCCATCCTCGTCGTCGGCTTGCGTTCTGCTCGTCGACGCTGCGGAGAACGCGTGTTGAAATACACCTCGATGATGAAATGGGCGACGTCCATGTCGCCGGATGGCTGAATTTATCAAGAAGAGAAAGGAAGGCATGCGACATGATTGACATTCGCCGCCAGTAGGTCGCCGGTTTGACACCGGCGAAGACTGCCGCGTCGACGGCGACCGGTCGTCAACCACGGTCCGCAGCCGACGCAGTCGCCAGCTCGCCGCGGTTTTCTGATGTCAGTCTCAATCTACGTGCTTATCCCACTCGTACTTGCCATGCTTGAGGATTGCCTCACAAATTTTGACAGTTTGACCCTTTACAAAAACTATTTTTATAAATAAACCGCTCTCAAAACTTATTTCAAATCTGACCCTTTTGCTCAACGCCAAATCGTGTGACGCTGAATTTAGACACCTCAGCACCAAATAGCATGACACTGAATGTACGTTGGCACGCTAACTTAGTCTCCCATCCGCCGTGGCACGGCATTCAGCGCCAGCTGACGTGACGCTGAGGTGTCTAAGTTCAGCGCCACACGATTTGGCGTTGAGCAAAAGGGTCAGATTTGAAATAAGTTTTGGCAGCGGTTCATTTGTAAAAATAGTTTTTGCAAAGAGTCAAATTGTCAAAATTTATGGGATTGCCTCGCACTCTTGCAATTTGCGAGTATGTTACAGACTTCGCCTTTCCGTCTGAACTGCAAAATTGGTCTGTCGTCGTAAGTGTAACTTCTTTTTTTAGACAATGGATAAATATCTAACCTCTATATCCACATGTGGATTATACACAGCCAAACGTTGTAAACATGAGTACATAAAATCCACCAAAATTTGGACAAATTGTTTCAACAATAAACCGTGGCAAAAAAAACTAATTTTAGGAATAGAAACGATTCATTCATGAAATTAGTTTTTGACATGGTTTATTCTTAAAATAAGTTTTGTGAGAGGAACAATTTGTAAAAATTTATGTAAACTCCAAACCTCACAAATGAGAAACACAACAAAACAAGAAAGAAGACTAGCAAAGAAAACCAGAAGACTAAGCTTCAAATTTTTTCTACGTTTTTTCTTCAATCTTGCTTCATCCTTGCGCAAGTGTAACTTCTTGTTATTGCTTTTGCTTGACATTGAAACGGAATTCAGCACGCGCCTATCAATTTTAATTTCGGATGCATTGTTTGATGGACGCAAATTTTGTTACCAAGTTAAACAACAAACGCACCAAAACAAAAATTGAGCAGAAAACCAAGAGAAATGGCATGTTCATTCAACCGTGCTCCCAACAAACATCAGCTGCAAATGCACATTCAGCACAGCATGTGGTAGGGCTGTTTGTACTGAATCTGTTTCATGTCTTGAAAGCGATACTAGTTCTGACAGCACATGAACTCAAATTGTACAGCAGTCAGGGTTTCCCAAACCGCCGGGGTCGGGGTTACCGCGCGGTAACCGTGAAAAACCGTACAAAACCATACAAAATTTATCAAAAATTTAAATTATTTTTTAAATTTATTTGAATTTAAGGAGGTTACCGCGGTATTTATATTACCGTACCCCGCGGTAAACCCGGTAACCGCGGTAACCGCACGGTAAAGTGAACCCTGACAGCAGTACGGCACATTGAAAGCATCCAGTGATGCAACCCACTTTCGTATACCCTCTCCGTGCTAAAATATAACAACTTCTAACCCTTAAGATTTATCACAAAATATAACAACTTTCATCAACAATAATCAATTGCAATCATCCACCGTATAATTTTCTGAATTGTTTTCACTTCTCAACCAATTACAACCTTCCTCTCGTCTATCAAGCCTGTATACAGAGCTAGCAAAACTGAAGGGTAAAAAAATCGTGTCTTTTTGAATCGATGGGAGCAGGGAGAGCTTTGGTTTCGATCTTGTCATGGCTGGAAATGCATCTCGTCGAGGACGACGACGAGCGCGACGATGAAGGCGTAGTCGATGCCGGCGTTGACGGTGACGCTGTATGCGTTCTTCCCCAGCAGCGCGCTCGCCACGCTGAACCGCCGGTCGATCTGCGCGCGAAACAGTTTTTGCGTCAGGTCGAGCAGCACGCCCACCAGGTGTTCGATGAAATGACGGAAGTGGTTTGAGCAGGGGGGAGAGAGAGGGGTTGCTTTGCTTGCCTTTGCGATGACGGTGTCAGAGTCGCCGAGGGAGACGGCGCAGGCGCCGTCGTGGTAGCTGCCGGTGACGCGGAAGTCGCTGGCCTGCTCGGCGTCGTTGCTGGCGAGGAACACGCTCACCTTGGTCGAACCCCATAGCTGGATCGCCGACGGCTTCACCACGGTGAAGAGCAGGTCACGCCGGCTCGTGCTCTCCCCCCGGAACACCTTCCACCTCCTGTTCATCACCATCGCCTGCACCCACCGGAGCTCACCACCACCGATCAGATTGGCACGGTGGGGAAGAAGAGAAGAGAGTAGGGGAGGGGAGTCGAGTGTCGCGCGCACCGATTCTTGGACGGTGAGGACGGGGCGGCGGTCGGCGTCGGCGAGGAGGCAGCGGCGGCGGAGGCTGAAGAGCACGCCGTCGACGCGCAGCACGACGGCGCCCGTGGCGGCGTCGGTGACGGTGAAGTCACTCCCGGACAGGCTCAGCGTCTTCGCCACGGACAGCGCCGCCGCGTCCCCCGCGACGAACCGCGCGTCCACCACCGCCAGCGCCGGCACCGCCTCCATCTCCATCTCCCTCCTCTCCGGCCGCCTCGCCGCCGCTGCGGGTGGGGATCGATCGGGGATGGCTTGGCCGCGCGGCGACGCGTCTTCCTCCTCTGGCGTCCACGCCCACGCTGAAAGATTTGACCACTACAATGGCAGGAAGGTCGGTGACCGTGATCAGATTTGACAAAAACAAACTGACGCTTTCAGTTTTATGCTTATGCTTATACTAATTATTAACTAAAATTTAAATTTTTAACCTTAAATTTAAAGCTGATTTTAAGATTTTTTTTATTAAAGTTTATTTTTCAGCATTTGCTTTTAGATCGCTAGAAATACGTAAATAAAAATTTTATTCACAAATACTTTTTATTTGTAAATATATCGTTTCGCTACTATGGCTCCTGTACTAAGCAGGATTCTTCTTGAGATCAGTATTAACGAAAAGGAAAAGAATTCTTCAGGCATAGGCAGTCTGAATGGACGTAAAGAAAATTCAGAAATCGATAAAGGAATCATCTTTAACGCGTATTCACACAATCACAGCTTCAGATGTAGCTTTTCCCGCGTAAAATTATTTTTTTTTCAGAAGTAGAGTGTGCTACGTGGAAGCATGAGATTTGTTGTCTCTTCCTTCTTTGATCCTTTTCTATGTGATCACGGCGTGAGCTGCTGAATCATCATCAGCTGGTAGTAGTATAAAATTGCAAAAGAAGAATCCATTAGGCTCCCCTTTTTTTTTAAGAAATCCATTAGGCTCCTAGCCGACGTATAGTTGAGTAGTACTCACTCCGATTCACAATGTAATTCATTCTAGCACTTTCCACGTTTATAATGATGTTAATTTAATATATATATCTAGATTCATTAATATTAATATAAACATGGGAAGTGCTAAAATGACTTACATTGTGAAACGGAGGGAGTACTATATTGCTACTCCGTCTGTCCTAAAATGCAAGCATTTTTAGCTATGAATCTAGACAACTGTGTGTCCGATTTATAGCTAAAAGTTGTTATATTTTGGGACGGAGGTAGTATTTGTTACTCTCTTAAAAAAACTAGGATAAGATGGGATATACTTTATTATGTCTAGATTCGTTGTATTAGATTATATTTTATCTCGTTTTATGTTTGGTTTTTTGTTTGATTGCTTCTATGTTTTACCTGTTGGAATTAATGAATGGGCCTTAGCCCACTCGAAGATTAATTCTTTGGAAAATCACAAAAGCCCACCTCATGGGATGGCATGCATGTGGAGTTTAGTACCACCTTGCTTATTCTAGGAGAGGGGGACCTCCTTAAAAGGGAGGATGCCCTCCTAGCCACTTGAAGCATGTATGGTGGAGAGAAGAGGGGAAACACGCGCGCGCTCGCTCGCCTCGCCTGGCCTGGCAGGCGGCGCGCGTGCACGACGTACGCGTCGAATGGTCCGAAAAATTGGCTCCTCACCCTTGCGCAGATGCAGCCTCCTTTTGCAGTTTTGTTTTGCTGCAAATTCGGATTCGTTTTGTTTTGGAAACGTTCCGAAAAATCCGGTGCGTGCAAACGGCGTGGAGTCCGGATAAGTTACGCGCGACTTATCCGGTTCGGTTACGCGCAGTAGAGATCGTGCGGGCGCCCTGATCAAGCGACCCTTCTCTATATAAACCGACCCGCCGTCTTCACGCGATATATGCGAAAATCAATCTAGGGTTTGCCTCCTACTCTGTACTGCGCCGTCGCTCGTAGACTACTCCATCCCGCTCGCCGGCGTGCACCAGCGATCGGGAGAGCAGGTCTCCGGAACCTCTGCCTTTGACGTCCTGCACCGGGAGAAGGCGGCAATAAGGTTTTTGGGAAGCGCTTCGCGCGACTGCTCCCTGTTCGTTCGTGACGGCTCGCCTTCCTCTTCGCTCGCGTGTTTCGTGCCTTCGTAGACACCTGCGAAAAGTTTCGACCAAGCAGCCGGTCTTTTCGTCACCTCGGTACGTGTTCAATATGTTGCGCATATTTGATCTGTTCATGTTATTCTGCGTAGTTTACATGTGTAGATCTAATGATGCGTTCATGCTAGTTTTCATCTGTAATGTCATGATTTATTTATGGAATAAATTAAATCATTATATGCCCATAATCTCAACAATCCAAAAACCTTATTATAGGCACTGTGATTTTACTATGGCTGGTTTTGCCGATGCACTGAGGCCGGATAAATTCACCGGTGTGCATTTTAAGAGATGGCAGATCAGGGTCACTCTGTGGCTGACAGCTATGAAATGCTTCTGGGTGAGTACTGGCAAACCTAAAGGAGTTCTTACTGCTGAACAGCAGAAGCAATTCGAGGAAGCCACTACTCTCTTTGTGGGATGCATTCTTAGCGTTCTTGGCGATCGTCTGGTCGAGGTGTATATGCATATGACCGATGCTAAGGAGTTGTGGGATGCACTGAATACTAAATTCGGTGCTACTGATGCTAGCAATGATCTGTATATCATGGAGCAGTTTCATGACTACAAAATGGCTGACAACCGTTCTGTAGTCGAACAGGCTCATGAGATACAAACCATGGCTAAGGAACTCGAACTCCTTAAGTGTGTCTTACCCGACAAATTTGTGGCCGGGTGCATTATTGCAAAACTACCTCCATCTTGGAGGAGTTTCGGTACTGCACTCAAACACAAGAGACAGGAATACTCCGTTGAGGGGTTGATTGCGTCTCTTGATGTTGAGGAGAAAGCTCGGGAAAAAGATGCCGCGTCTAAGGGCGATGGTGGGCAGTCCAGTGCCAATGTTGTGCACAAGGCCCAGAACAAGAGCAAGGGGAAATACAAAGCTCAGCAGACCACCAACTTCAAGAAGCAGAAGAAGAACAACAACAATCCTAATCAGGATGAGAGGACTTGCTTTGTGTGTGGCCAAGTTGGTCATCTGGCTAGGAAGTGTCCACAACGCAAGGGGATGAAGGCACCTGCAGGGTAGACTTCTAAGTCTGCTAATGTGACCATTGGCAACACTGGAGATGGAAGCAGGTATGGTAATTTACCTACTGTTTTTTCAGTTAATCAATCTACTAATTGGTGGGTTGATACTGGGGCCAATGTACATGTTTGTGCTGACATCTCATTGTTTTCTTCTTATCAGGTCGCACGGGGTTCCACCGTCCTAATGGGGAATGGGTCACATGCTTCTGTTCATGGTGTTGGCACGGTAGATCTGAAGTTTACTTCGGGAAAGATCGTGCAGCTGAAGAACGTGCAGCATGTCCCTTCTATCGACAGGAATCTTGTTAGTGGCTCCCGTCTGACTAGAGACGGATTTAAGTTGGTTTTTGAGTCTAATAAAGTAGTCGTGTCTAAACATGGATATTTTATTGGTAAAGGTTATGAGTGCGGAGGCCTATTCCACTTTTCCCTTTCTGATTTCTGCAATAAGTCTGTGAATCATATTTGTGGCAGTGTGGATGATGAGGCTAATGTTTGGCATTCACGTTTATGTCATATTAATTTTGGCTTGATGTCTCGGCTTTCCAGCATGTGTTTAATTCCTAAGTTTTCCATTGTCAAAGGTTCTAAGTGCCATAGTTGTGTGCAATCGAAGCAACCTCGCAAGCCTCACAAGGCTGCCGAGGAGAGAAACTTGGCACCACTAGAACTCCTACATTCAGATCTTTGTGAAATGAATGGGGTGTTGACGAAGGGTGGAAAACGATATTTCATGACATTGATTGATGATGCTACTAGATTTTGCTATGTGTACTTGTTGAAAACGAAAGACGAGGCTCTAGACTATTTTAAAATTTATAAGGCAGAAGTTGAAAATCAACTTGACAGAAAGATAAAAAGGCTTAGGTCTGATCGTGGTGGAGAGTTTTTCTCGAACGAGTTTGACTTATTCTGTGAGGAACATGGCATCATACATGAGAGGACGCCTCCCTATTCTCCCGAGTCTAATGGGATTGCTGAAAGGAAGAACCGCACACTGACTGACTTGGTGAATGCCATGTTGGACACCGCGGGACTGCCTAAGGCATGGTGGGGGGAGGCATTGTTGACCTCAAATCATGTGTTAAACAGAGTTCCTAACAGAAATAAGGACAAAACACCATATAAGATATGGATTGGTAGAAAACCATCACTTTCTTATTTGCGCACATGGGGGTGCTTGGCGAAAGTCAATGTACCAATAACGAAGAAGCGCAAACTTGGACCTAAGACTGTGGACTGTGTTTTTCTGGGATATGCTCATCATATCATTGCCTATAGATTTTTAATAGTTAAATCCGAGGTACCGGACATGCATGTTGGTACAATTATGGAGTCTCGTGATGCTACCTTCTTTGAGAGCTTTTTCCCAATGAAGGATACACATAGTGGTTCGAACCAACCCTCTGAAATAATTCCCAGTTCAATCACACCACCAGAACAAACTGAACATACACATGAACTTGTCTCTGAGGAGGATGTCAGTGAAGCTCCTCGAAGGAGTAAGAGACAAAGGACGGCTAAGTCTTTTGGTGATGATTTCACTGTGTACCTCGTGGATGACACTCCTAAGTCAATTTCAGAAGCATATGCATCTCCTGATGCAGACTACTGGAAGGAGGCTGTCCGTAGTGAAATGGATTCCATTATCGCTAACGGGACTTGGGAGGTGACAGAGCGACCCTATGGGTGTCAACCTGTGGGGTGCAAGTGGGTGTTCAAGAAGAAGCTTAGGCCTGACGGTACTATTGAAAAGTACAAGGCTCGGCTTGTTGCTAAGGGCTATACTCAGAAAGAAGGCGAAGATTTCTTTGACACTTACTCACCTGTTGCTAGATTGACCACAATTCGTGTGCTACTTTCCCTAGCAGCCTCACATGGTCTTCTCGTTCATCAAATGGACGTTAAGACAGCTTTTCTTAATGGAGAGCTGGATGAGGAGATCTATATGGATCAACCTGATGGGTTTGTAGTTGAAGGTCAAGAAGGCAAAGTGTGCAAATTGTTGAAGTCTTTGTATGGTCTGAAACAAGCTCCTAAGCAATGGCATGAGAAATTTGACAAAATATTGACATCTGCAGGCTTTGCAGTCAATGAGGCAGATAAATGTGTGTACTATCGCCATGGTGGGGGTGAGGGAGTTATTTTGTGCTTGTATGTTGACGACATACTGATATTTGGGACAAACCTTGAGGTGATAAATGAGGTTAAATCATTCTTG